GCCGCCGGCCGCCACACGGCAAGGCCGCCGGCCGCCACACGGCAAGGCCGCCGGCCGCCACACGGCAAGGCCGTCAACCGCCACACGGCAAGGCCGCCGGTCGCCACACGTCAAACGGCAAGGCCGCCGGCCGCCGGACGCCAAATAGCAAGGCCGCCGGCCGCCGGCCGCCACACGGCAAGGCCGCCGGCCGCCACACGGCAAGGCCGCCGGCCGCCACACGGCAAGGCCGCCGGCCGCCACACGGCAAGGCCGCCGGCCGCCACACGGCAAGGCCGCCGGCCGCCACACGGCAAGGCCGCCGGCCGCCACACGGCAAGGCCGCCGGCCGCCGGCCGCCACACGGCAAGGCCGCCGGCCGCCACACGGCAAGGCCGCCGCACGGCAAGGCCGCCGGCCGCCGCACGGCAAGGCCGCCGGCCGCCGCACGGCAAGGCCGCCGGCCGCCGCACGGCAAGGCCGCCGGCCGCCGCACGGCAAGGCCGCCGGCCGCCGCACGGCAAGGGCGCCGGCCGCCGGCCACCGCACGGCAAGGCCGCCGGCCGCAACACGGCAAGGCCGCCGCCGCCACACAGCAAGGCCGCCGGCCGCAACACGGCAAGGCCGCCGGCCGCCACTGTCAAACTATAATGATATAGTTTGTATGGTTCTAGTCTAGGTGCATTTACTTTGTCCTAGGTTTAGGGTTAGGGCTGACTTATATCTTGCTTGTTTGTTCATTTGCTTGTCATTGATTCTCATATCTTAACATGGTATAGAGCTAGGTTTCCCTAGCTAGGGTTTCCCCTAGCGTTTTCACTCGATAGATTAAGGGCCCACCAAATTCGCTAGCGCGCGCCTCGTACTAACGCGCGCTGCCTCGAAACCGCCCCGCCAACATGACACGACCACCGACAGAGCCAACCATCACGCCCGAAAAAATACTGAGCCACCGAGTACGTGACCCACGGGGAGCCCGCAGGATCGAATTCCTAATCCGCTGGAAAGACCGCACGCCAACCGAAGACAATTGGGTTCCCCTGGATAGAATTGAGAATCACCCTGTCTTGACTGAGTATCTGCGTAGCCGAAACTTTCGAGATGTACTCGCGCTCTCGTAAGAGGGGCCTCCTTGGGGAGGGGGGTAGTGTAAGGAAAATTCATTTTCCTTACTTCGCGTCCCTGCTTACCGCGTACATGCCCGTTCCCGCCATCGGCACCCATCCGTGAACGTTACCCGCTCGCGACATTCGCCTCGACCACGGCTCCCGCCACTGTTCACGATGCGACCCAACCTCACGGTTCGGTTGGTATCCCGCGCTCCGGACCTCCGCCTCGACAATTCCCAACCTCGGCGCTAGGCCCGTAGCGCACCCCAATTTCCCGCATTACCGTTACCACGCTAGCTTCGCTATATAACTTCGCTCATGCTTTTCGCTCAAACTGTATTGATTGCTTCGATAGTGCAATTCTCACTCGCTCGTTCAATTGCACTCGTAACACCACCCTACTTCCGGGTTATTCCTACCTTGTTACGAAACTTGAATCTCTGGTTGTGTTTTTGACTTCCCACATCCTCCGTAAGGGCAGATCCGTCATTGGTACGGAATACATTCCTTTAGGGGCACCAACTATGCACCAATCGCATCGTTCTGCATCTCCAAACAATTCGTGCTCGAATTCGATACAATCACCCGGTTTCCCGCCTTCGCACCGAAAGCCTGCCAGAAAACCTTGGGAACAGCAGCACCTGGCCTGTCGATTGACGGGCATATGCCCTTAATGCCCTGAACATTAAGGGCTAGTTTCGCTCCAGCTCCAATGCGTCAAGTTTTTGTTTCGCACCCCACCCGTGCCACTAAGTGCTTCATTCGACCCTTGCCCGGATGCGTTAAGGGACGAAACCAGGCCTTCCCCTTTATCTAAGTTTTGGTTTCAGATCGTAGGACCCCCCCCCCCCCCCCTCCCCCCCCTCTTTCTCCTTAGCCTGCACTAGAGCGCGCCAAGGGGGTTTTGTCCCTTAGCGTTTTGTAGCCAATCCCGTGTGTGTAGCGTGTCTCTCAGTCAGCCTAGGAGCACCCGCACATTCCCTTAGCGTCCAATACGAGCTGGCCGCAGTGTACAGCTGTGACACATGGGATTATCTTGGGTAAATCTGGCTAAGTTGTTTGGCCACAGAGACATCTAAGACACTAAACCACAGCACGTCAAAGGAACTGAAGCACTCCAGCGCAGCAGCTCCCTCCCTCACCACCTTCGTTCGTGCGAGCCACGATTCCTCTCCACCACCATGCAATTTATCCACCACCACATCCCACCCATGTTTTCTCTTCCGCACCGTCCCACCACCTCCACGGTATCATCCACCCAAGCCCTCAGCTCTCCCCTCCCCTCTCGTACGTGCCATGCTATGGCACTTCTCCTCCACCCAACCACTCTGCCGAGTAAACCTCGCGTCGCCTAGCTCACGCACGCGATGTTTATAGTATGGGTAGCTAACCCGTTCGCTTCGTCAGCCACATTCTCCCACAATGGATCCTAGCGAGGGTGAAACCCCTCCTCCAGTTTTGCCCATGTCGAACGTTAGTCATTCTCATACTACGACCGAGACCGAGCCTTACGTACCCTCGGATGCTGAAGACATGCTAGACGTAGCAATCTCAGTGTTGGACCCGCGCCTCGCCCAGCAAGCATCATCGTCACAGACTACACCTCTGTCAGCAGCCCGCTACCGTCAGGTTCACCTTAGCTTCGCAAGTCCGCCACCAGATTCGCGAAAGCGCGCACGAAGCGTACCGCCTGAAACCTGCAAAAGCCGAGATCGAGCTCCATGAGGACATCATCGACCCTGAAAACCCGGGGGGGGGATGCGACTTGGAGGCCTGCGTGGACCTGGCGCGGCGTTTCGTTCAGCGCCTGATTAAGGCGCTGGGGAAGAGGATGGCGGACCTGCGCCATTTCGATGGTGTTGGGTTTTTCACCCCTGATAAGTATCCCTTCCGTGCAGGAGAGCAGGACACATGGCTGCAGCACCATCTCACCGAGCTCCTGGACATGTTCAAGAACCAGCTACCTGGTAAGCCTAGATTAGTATGAAAGGAACCCACGTATGTTCTAACTTTGTACGTATTATGCTCACACAATGACGTAATCTAACTTTGTATATGTCCTTGGCAGGAGTCGCTCTTGCTGACATAGAGCCGCAGATGCGCCTCTTCACAGCCACCATGGAGAAGAAGTTCAAGAAGCAGAGCTTCCATCAGGCTCTCACCAACATGCTGCGCACTGCAGACTGGAAGGATGACTATCCCACCATAGTCTCTCTCTGGCGTGCGGTCTCTGTGTTGCCCCTCAGCACTGTTGAGTGTGAGAGGGGCTTCTCCCGCCAAAACATTATTAAGTCGTGGGATCGTGTTGCTCTTACTGATGTTAGGCTGGGGGAGCTGATGACGGTGAAGATGCTAGACTACCCGGTGGACTGGGCAGCGGCCTATGCCTTGTTTATAAGGGGAGGAAGGGGAGGAAGCTTGCCAACTAGGCTCGCATTGGATTTCGGGTTAGAGTAGAGTAGCTGAGCTCTGCATGCCATATCTGTAGTTAGTGTAGAGAATAAGAACTTTGCAGGCTAGGTAGGTTTTATGACTATTTAAGACATGTGTAGTGTTAGGTGTCTTTGACTTCTAATTTAAGTACATAACAGCACTTATCATAGTAAAATGAAGTGTAAGTGCAAACTTCAAACATGCCCTGATTTCAAGTTCTGACTTTGGGGTGCGCCCGTGACCCTTAAGGGCGCCAAAACGCTCACCTACCCCCAACCAAGGGTCAGATTGGGAGGAGCTGGGGAGCGCAAGTACGAGCCCCAGGAACTTCGACAGGCCTGAGCAGCACCCAGACTTCCTGACAGACTCGAGAAGAGCCACACTCCTGGGAACTTGGGAACACCGCCCTTGGGAGCTACAACTTCTGTGAGTTCCGTTCTGAGTTCCTTTCTCCCACACGCCTCCCTCTTCTCTTACTAGTGCTTCCTTCCCTTGAAACCACGCAGTTTCCTTCAATATTCCGCCATGTCGTCAGCACCTCGGAGCTCGACTTGCATTTAGAGACCCTCCATGTCGTCCCCTTGACATTCACGTGTTTTTGCTGTTTCCGAGTCATAAGCTCCGCTTATTATGTAGATTCCCCGCTCAGGAAATCGACGCGCTTTTCCATTCCTATCTGCTAGCCCTCCTTGCAGACCCTGAATAAGTATTGCAGATTAATATCCCTCTCGAGTAGTTAAAACCCGGGGGCCAAGAAGGCCAAATTTGGTTCATCCTTCCTAGTGTTGGTTGGGTGTCCCAAAAAGGCCTGTGATTTTCCCGAGTTCCTACCACCTCGTCCAACAACTTCGACACTCCTATTGGCTCACGGGCAATTACCGTCCTCACTCCCAACCAACCTTCCTAAGCTTGAATATCTTGGCCCGCGGGTTTTAAGACTCTGCATTCGAAGCCGTAGATATTTGAGACGTTTTTTAGATACCCAGCTGGCACGATGAGCAAGAAGGATGATGAGAAGCACGAGAAGATTATCCGGGGGTTGATGAAGTTGCCCGAAAATAAAAAGTGCATAAACTGCAACAATCCGGTAATGCATTTCACCAGGTTCTAACTAGCGTCGCCAGCTATGCCCTTAGAAGTTATGACGAGCGGGGAACAGGGTAGATCTGTTATTTTCAGCGAAAAGCGTTTGCTTTATCAGTACGAGGTTCGTGTTTTGAGGTTAGTTAGAAGCCAGACGCGATGCGTTGAGCCACTTCCTTCTAAGCTCCTACGGCGAATGCGGTGTCGTTCAGGATGTAATAACTTCTAGTCTACGCTTCCCTGCGTTAAGCGTTAATCCTTTGCGGGCTGTGCGATCACAAAGTCGTACTTAATTTGGATCCAATATTTGCAACATGTCCAGTCTTTGCGATCAGTCCACTTCATACGGATCGTTAATGTCCGTACGATATCCGTGTGTTACCTCGATTACTGCAGGGCCCTCAATATGTGTGCACGAATTTCGCAACGTTCGTCTGCGTCGCGTGCAGCGGAATCCAGTGAGTCTTCCTCCCCCTTCTTCGCCAATCTTCCCCTCTCGTCTTTCAACTTCACTCCATCCACATACCCCTCCTTTCCCGCCTTCACCCTTTCCGCTCGTGCGAGCGCGTGACTTTGAAGTCAACTCAAAAGTCACCTCGACACAGTGACGCACTCCACTGAGTACTTCGTTCCCGCCTTCGCCTTTCCCGTCTTCACCATTTCCGCTTGTGCGAGCGCATTGCAGTGACCCCATTTCCATGCCCCGATTTACATCACTTCCATTTCACAAGATGCATTTACATTTTATTCAACAATCTACACTACCGCCCCTCCTCCCCCTCCTTCCCTTGCCCGTTTCCAGTCGAGAGTACACGCACCGCCTCAAGTCCGTGTCAATGGCCAAGTTCACTCCTGAAGAGGTGGCAGCGCTGCAGCAAGGCGGCAACCAGGTGAGGGGTTACTGGGCGAACTGTTACCAGGCTGTGGTAACCAGATGCATTCGCGAGGCGATTAAACAGATTCAGCCATTGAATGAATAGCCCCTCCAGTCCATTTTCGTGGCCGACCTCAACACAACGACGATTTTGAATCTGATTCGTTTCCTCTCTCTCCTTGTGTGCCTGCCTCACGTCGCCTGCGTGCCTCCGTGTGTGTGCGTGTGACCAGAAAGCGCGGGAGTTTTTCCTCGCGAATGCCAGCAGGGTGGAGCCGCCAGACCCCAAGTGAGTCCGCCTGCTGCCTCTCTCCCCGCATGCACCTAATCATCACTTCCGTCCCCGTATCCGCTACCACCCCTTGCTTCCTGCCTAAGTGCTGCGAACCACTCCTTCCCCCCCAAATGCTCATCACCCCCTCCTTCCCCCCCATATGCTCTTCACCCCTTCTTGCCCCATATCCACTAACACCCATTCGATCCCCGCAGCGACCCAAATCGGCTGAGGGAGTTCGTGCGATCAGTCTACGTGGAGAGGCGATACGTGGCAAGCAGAGACCCGAACGCTGCTGCTGCGCCACCTGCGCGCGCGCAGCCCTCTTCCCCCTCCCCTTCCCCCGACCTCCCCCCAGCCTCCGCCTCCTCCCCGCAGCCCGTCTCCTCTTCCCAGCACAACGATCACAGCCGTTTATCTTCTGACGCCCGAGCTATGCGGGCTTCTGCCGATGGGTACGGTGGTGCGAGTGGGGCGAGCAGAGGTCCGGGCAGAGGTGCGGGGTATGGGAGTGATAGGCAGCCGCAGCAGCAGCAGCAGCCGCCGCAGGAGGAGAAGCGGAAGCACAAGGGCGGGTTGTCGTCGTTTCTGGGGTTCAAATCCCGTGGCAGCAGCAGCAGCAGCAGCAACAGTGGCGGCGGTGGCAGCAGTGGTGGTGGCGGCAGCGGGAGTGGCGGGGCGGCAGGCAGTAGGCATAGCAGCAGCGCCGGAGGCAGTAGGGAGAGACGGGAGGACTCGTTGAAAGGAGAGCACCGGAGGGACGGCCAAGGGGGACGGTCCTCCTCTCCCTCCAGTTCCAACAACAGTGATAAAGGCAGCAGAGGCACCGACAGGGAGAGAGACAGGGAGAGGGAGAGGGAGAGGCATGGGCATGGCATGAGGAAGAGCGGGAGTAGTAGTGGCAGTGGAAGCGGGCAGTCTAGACCCAGTGGGGGCAGCGGGGGAGGGGGGGGGTAGAGGGGGAGGAGGAGGGGGAAGGGGTGCAGGCTGGTGCAGTGTTTCAAGCAGTCAGCTTTTGGGGCGGGATGTGGCAGCTGAAGGTGTATGCGGCAAGGGCAGGAGGGGGGGTGGGGCAATGGCGAGGATGGGGGGCATGTTGGGACGGGGGAGCGCAGGGAGCAGCGCCTGGAACGCTGGTTTCTTCTAATGAGAGCCTGAGTGCTCTTGTGCTGCATCCGCAATTTCTCACACAGGCACGCATGCACGCACGCTCTCGCACATACGCACTCATGCTTTCCCTTACCGTTCTGACCATTATCTGCTTTCCCTGCACGCACAATCTCCTGTCCCTTGTCCTGTCTCTCTACCCTTCTTCACCTCTCTCTGCATTGTTGTACCCCTGCTGTCCTGCAGCCTCCCATGTCCACTTTGGGTCTGCCACCCCAAGCCATGGACTTGCCGCCCTACCAGATGGCAGGAGCCGCTACAGGACAAGCCATGCCGTCCGCCTATGATCAATTCCTCTCCACCTCAGCAGCCGCCCCTCCTCCTTTCCCCGGTGCCCCTGGTGTTGCTGCTAGTCTCGATGCCTCTGGTTTTGGTGCTGCTGCCGATGGTAGCAGTGCAAATACAGCAGCAGCTGCAGCAGCAGCAGCAGCAGCTGCCAAGTCGACCAATCCGTTTGCCTTCGATGATGACGATGATGAGGAGGACACTACGGCCCCTGCTGCTCCTCCTGCTACTGCTACGGGTTCTCAGGTGACTTTATCTTATCCTCCTCCCATCTCCACCTTTCTCCTCAGTTCACCCTGATTTCTACCTTCTCGTCCCTGCTCCATCCATGCCGCTCCTTTCCATGGGTGAAAGCGCTTGGGGGAACCTCACCTTCGTGTATCGTCCCTGCATCATCATCCTTGCAGCGTGTGTCAGTGACCCTTTTTATGCCTCTGCCTGGTTCATTGACCTGCTTTCAGAACCCGGCCAACTTCTTCTCATCGCATTGCTCTAATTGTTTTTCCTCTGCCATTCACCCACGGTCTCACTGCCTCTTTTCAACCCCCTGTGTGCCGCTTCACCTCTTGCCACTTATTCCTTTCCCTTCCCCCTCTCCCCACTCCCTCCGCTGTAGCCATTCTCCATGGATCCGTTGGCTGCTGCTCTCCCTGGCGGTTATTTTGTCCCTCCTGGCACCGTTGCTGCCCCTTTCCAGTCCCCTCAGCAGCAGAATCCTGCAGGTGAGCACTTGTCTTTGCTGTCCCTATTTTTTTGTTTGTTTGTTGGTTTTTTTTGTTTGCCTGAAGCTGCGCACAGCTTTTAACTGGGTGTAACCCTCCAGGTGCCCGTCCCACCAGCAGCCATGCCATGCAGCTCGGTGGCTTACTGTCTTATTGTTTTGCGATTTCAAAATTCTCTGCTCCCCCCCCCCCCCCATTCCCCACCGTGCCCCCGCTCTTTCCGTTCCCCCATCGCCCTGCATGCTCCCCCTCGCCAGCCACCCCATTCGCACATGCACCAGATCTCTCCCCCCAACCCTCTTTTTGAATCGGAAAAAAATTCCCCCTCCCATGCCCCTTCTCTTCCCGTTCCCCCATCGCCCTGCATGCCCCCCCTGTCCAGCCACCCCATTCGCACATGGACCAGATCTCACCCCCCAACCCTCCGTCTTCTCGCCCTCCACTCCTCCTCAACCCTCTGATCCGTTCGGTGCACCTCACCCCGTCCAAACCACCTCGCCTGGTCTGGCCGGACCTGCCGGTGGGTTCGGAGGTGCCACGCCGGGAGGGGGCGTGAGTGTGTCTGCTGATCTATTTGGGGCTGGGTTCGGGTGGGGGGGAGGGGGAGCAGGAGGCGGGGGAGGAGGGGGAGGAGGAGCAGTGGGAGGGGCAGGTATGGGAGGCCATAATCCAATGCAATCTGCTGGTGGTGGTGGGGGGATGTCTGCATCAATCGATTTCGGTTTCCTTGGAGGTGGTGGTGGTGGTGCAGCCTCTGGGCTTGCTCCTGGTGCTGCGGGGGGTGATGGGAACTTCGGATTAGCTTCTGCTACTGCAGGAGCAGCAGGAGGGCCTTCTATGGATCCGTTTGCATCTCTAATGCCGACTGGAGCACAGGCTCCTCCTAGTGCTCATCAGCCCGCTCCTGCTGCTGGTGCAGCTGCGGCTGCTCCTGCATCGTCTTTTGATGGTTTCTCTTGGTAAACAGTTGCACCTGCTACGTATTTTGATTCTGGGTAGATTAGATGTCAAAATCCCAGTGCGTCTGGCTAGCATAGGTAGCCTGCTTGTTGTTCGCAACTTAGGTAGCTGAACTGTTCGGCTTGTATGTAGGCGAAACGTCAGTTTGTGTGTGTTCTGGGTTAGTATAGGAGACATCGATTCCCAAACCTGTTGTTTCTGTACACTGTATACAGCCCTTGACGGGTACAATGACAACAACACAACCTTGCTAGCCTGGAAAGGCGAAAGTTCGCCAGAAATGTCATCGTGCCGGTAGCTTCTCGCGATGTTATTGGCCAAATCCACGCTGGAGCTGACCTGCTGGCCCTTGCAGCCCGTTTATTGGCTGGGTGGTCAGCAGAGTCCTCGGTAACTTCGGGAGCAGTTTCTTCTGAGGGGGGTCAGCGAGTTTGCGAAGTCAAGCGAATTACTCGAAGACGTCAGCAAGCCATCATAGCCACGCACTTCCCCTGCTGCCACCACGCTGGAGCCAATCCACAAGCGATTTGATATTCCTTGCTGTACATTTCCCATCATCGCGTCGCCATTTCGAGGGAGTTCGAGCCGCCTCAATTGGTCGTGAAAGCTGCCCCCAACCTCTACTCCTCACTCTCCCGTCACACCACGCCACAACACATCACAACACATCAAACCCCAGCGGAACTCACCGAAACCATACCACGTTCCTCTCTTTCTCTCTATCCACGCACCTACCATTTCATTTCAACAACCTTCCTGCATTGCCCTCCCCTCCCCCACACCACCTTCCTCCCGCTGCTCCCTCTTCTCTTCCTCTTCCATGCATGCTCTGCCTTCCAGTTCAGAGTGGCTTCAAGCATATAAAGCGATCCGATAAGCATTTCTTCGCAATCTTCCCCACCCATCAAACTCCCATTTTCAGAGCCTTCCGCCAAACCACGAGCTTCCTCTACTGGTTTGCAACGCCGTTACCACTCATCTTGATCGCAATCACTCACACCGTTTCCACCACCTCGACCACTCTCGCAGACGATCTTACCTAGAGGAGGCTCTTTCCATCGCTCCATCAAGCGAAATCATTGTTCGACTGGACATCTGAACGAGTTCCGCTTGCTCCACGAGTCAGCATTAAATTTGTCACCAAGTCAAGGAAACGAGTTCGGTTGCCAATCCATCGCGTCTTCAAGACCGCATCGAAAGCTCTGAAACCGAAGAACACCGAGATCTGCCATGGCAGACGAGGCGAAGACCGCTCCGTCGAGTTCCTTCTCGATCGCGGAGGCGCGCAAGTGGGTGGTGGAGAATAAGCTACGCACAGTAGGCGGGCTGTGGGCCAGCGGCATCGCCGGGTCGGTGCTGTACAACATGCGGAAACCGGGGGAGAGAATGAGCGTCAAGATCATCCACGCGAGGTGAGCATCTAATCTCAGCCGTGCAATTTTTTATTCCGACTCAAAGCGTTATCGCCGGTTCGGTACTGTACAAGATGCGGAAACCTGGCGAGAAGATGAGCGTCGAAGTCATTCACGCGAGGAGAGCAAGAAGTCTCAGTGGGGCGGCATTGGTTGTCGACGTCAAGTCTACAGGAGTCGGGTTTGCCAGCTGCAACGGTTTAGGGTGCATCACAGGATCCGGTGCGCTCTGTCGTGTGCGGTTGCTGTGAACGTTTGAGCAAGAGACTGTTAAACCTTCTGGAGACACTGGAGCGGTTGTAAACGTGACGGCTGAGTCGTCTTACTCAATCAGGTCCTCCGCGCCCTGATTTCCCTGTTCGTCGCAGGTTGCACGCACAGGCTTTCACGTTGGCTGCGCTGATCGCTGCTGCTGGCGTGGAGTACTGGGAGCAATCGTCCAACCCTTCCACGAAAGAGGCGCGGCACCCGTTGTAACATCAAAACCGGCTAATCATTTTCGAGCTATGCAGGATGGTGCATTTTCGACCTATGCAGGATGGTGCATTTTCGAGCTATGCAGGATGGTGCATTGAGAAGCAACTGCTCACCGTGCAGTTCTATGGTGCCGACAGAGGGAGCTGATACACTCAAGCTGAGCGTCCTTGCTCCCATGGGTCGGGGCCTATTGTATATGTTGTTCACGCCATGGGCGTGTTTGCTACATCAGGGAGCGGGTGCTTGCTGCTAATTGTCTTGAGTACATCAACCCTCAACACCATCAGTCTTATTGGGTGCCTAATTTTATTTAATTCAGTGCTTTCTACTCTCCTGCTAGTAGTCAGGTAGTCTGTACACATCTATGTAGTTGAATGGTGGTGATTGCCCTTTGTTATGAATTGGGAGCACCAGATGGGGCTGTGGACGTGACAGTGTGTGCACTTCATATAAAATACTTCTGCAGCTTGCAATGCTGGTGTGTGTTACGAATGGTGATTATTGAAGCATCATTGTGCACTCCTTACCGCAGCAATCAAAACACGCACTACCGAGAATGAAGGCGAAAGGACGGAAGTGACGCGAAGGGTCGTACGGGTACGAAAGGATCTGGACCGTCGGGCAGACAGCATCAGGCAGCAGCAGTGGCAAGGATTCTGCCCGGACAGTTTCGTAACTCACTGGAGTCGCACGGTTGGATTTAACTGTAATAAGGGAATGTACCCCTTAGAGTACATGGCTAGCTAGGTCGATTGGTATTCCCTTGTACTCTTATTTATAGTGTTGTATTTGCATGTTTTTATCATCTCAAGCATTTTACATTTACTCTGCTATTGAGGTCAAGGGCCCACCACTACTCAATTGTGTGCGAACCTTCCTGAGGTGACCCTAGGCACGATCAACTTCTGATCACAACAGTGTGGACTCAACATCATGTTACAGTATGTAAAGATTCTGAAAGTACCGTATTCTCCCGGACATAACACCCTAGGGTATAGCTAAAAATACAGGGAAAAAATGGGGGGGGTCTCCTCATAGGAAAAAAATACATAATACCCGGGTCTTTACATATGGCATATTTTAGTGTTAGTGTTTTTTAAATTAGTCAATGTGGGTGTTTTGCTGTCATTTTAACATCACTGCCTGAGGCGCGAATGCGAGTTTCTGCCTCGAACTTCATCACCCCCACGAAAATGCCATGTGGCACCTCTCTTGCCACTTGCAGCGGAAGATTCACCTGCACGTGGCGACAGCGAAATAGTGGGAGGGGGCAAATCTCGGCAGATTGCATTTGAACGTACCGCGAAATTTCATCGAGGGGGAAATTCACGCGATATTCTTCCGTATTGCAGCTACTCGTTAACGACTATAATAATGAATCCGTAAGAAAAGGGGGGTGTTATAGAAAATCAGCCAAAAAGGGGGGTATAGTAGAAACGAGGTCTATCATAACACCCACCCCGCACAAGCTACCCGGGGGGTGTACAATTATGGGGGGGTGTTTTGTCCGGGAGAATACGGTAATAGTGGAGCTCTCTATCTGGTTAGGGTTGTTTTAGGAGTTCGCTGTGACAAACATGCCCTAGCCCCTGCTCCATCAGCCATGATGCATGCCTGAAAATTAATTCTTATTTATCAATCGGACCCTGAAAGTGAATGTGATTTGTCAATCCCCCAAACGGGATCTCCATATCTCCATAGCAAGAACACGATATATAAATAAAGTCCGTAACATGAGGAGCTCCATATAACTTTTGAGATTAGTCGAACTGTATCGACAGCACAGCACTAGTGAGTACACGACCAATCAATCACCTTCTACCTGTTGCCGGAAGTAACAGGCGCGTTTTCTGTTATTTGATTGGGCAACTGACATTTAGGTGTGTGGCGCAATTGGTTTGTTGAAGTGTAAGCGTGTAAAAGCAACCAATGAAAGAACATCTTTCGATCCTCCATCCATATCATGACGAATAGTGTTGAAGCGGCCGCAAAAAGCTGGGCCACGATCGTTGCTTATTGGCTGGGTTAAACCCCAGCTTGGCGGTCTGAAACTCCCGAGCCAGCAGCATCCGCTATGCCCCAAAGTTGCACGGAGGACAATTTGGTGGTTCACCCGGCGAAGATTGTGGTTTGGGGTAGTGCATAGTTTTAGATTTGGGTAATTACATTCTGGGTAACCAACATCGAGCCCGCTGACGTCAAAAGTCACCTACGTGGCTCGATGGTACCCGTCAGATCATGCGCACCCCTTGGTGGTACCCATCTTCCCTCCGTGGTACCCATCTTCCCTGCGTGGTACCCATCAACTGTGCGTGAATTCCCTGACTGGTACCGCAACATTTCAACCGAGCTGTACACCGTACAACAAGGGTTTCAATGCGATTTTCACTATATTATACCAACGTTTTCTGTCTGCAATTGAACATTAATACATTTTAACATTAATACCTTTGAACGTGCCTTACACTGGATAGAGTGCAACCTAGAAAAAATCAACTCCCCTTCTAAAATCCTCACGTTACCTCCGAACCTTTGTAAGCTCACATCACTGAGCGATAGGTAGCGTGAATCTTACGACCATGTTTCTCAGCGCGCAGTTGGTAATCTGAACAAAGTTCATAAGGTTGTATGCAAATAAATTGAGCATGTACCCCCACAGCTAAATAGAAAAGCATAAACAAATAATACGTACATTCGTTGGTTTCTGGAAACAAAACAATACCCATTAATGAAAATCAAATAACCTTAAGTCAATATATATATTACGTGTCAGTTGATCGTTTGTTACACGGATGTTAATTTTTGTGTTTCAGTTGATGCAATATATCTGTGGTGATTTAAATTATAGCACGTTATAATGTGGATGTTTATGAGCCTAAAGAAATCTACATAATAAATGTTTTCCTAAATTCAGCTTTTCTTCTACACTTTATTATAGGTAATGCGCTTGAAAATTTGACCCGATTATGTGGCACTTCGGGCTTCGGACTCTATTGAGCTTGTAAACGTTAAGACAATATAGTGAAAAACGCATTGACACCCTTGTTGTACGGTGTACAGCTCGGTTGAAATGTTGCGGTACCAGTCAGGGAATTCGCGCACAGTTGATGGGTACCACGCAGGGAAGATGGGTACCACGGAGGGAAGATGGGTACCACCAAGGGGCGCGCATGATCTGATGGGTACCATCGAGCCACGTAGGTGACTTTTGACGTCAGCGGGCTCAATGTTGGTTACCCAGAATGTAATTACCCTTTAGATTTCGTCTTTTCTAGGGCGGGCTCGAGCCTGTGAACAACCTCAGCAAAATGAATAATAATGAACGAACTTCTGGTATTCGGCAGCAATGTGAAAGAGATCCTCCTCTCTCATAAGCACCCCCCCAGATTCTTTAGGTTTATTTTGGGTCACAGCAGAGCTGAATATTTGCTTGTGAAACCTGTTTACAGGATTTCCACAGGGAAACTATCTGACAGGGGAAACCTCCATATTCACCCCTTCACACACGACTTCCAACTTTTCCCCACCTGCATCCACCTTTCCTAACCTTTAGAGCGTGGAATCCCGCCGCAAGTTACGGAGCGCGTGCTAGGGCCTGCCTTTCCCGTTCTGCTCCTCTTCACACACGGACAATAACCTTTTTGTTATCTTTCGCGGATGATTAGCAGAACCCCTGTTGCGCTCTTTCCACATGGTCCCTCAATCCCGCCGGCCCATGTGATCCTCGTTCCTAACGGCGACAGCGCAGCAGAACTGCTGCCGCAATTTGTGGCGCGTGCTTTCTCGAATGATCGCTCACGTGGCGCACAAGCACAGAACAAAAGGGACGAACCTCATTAGCTGCTCCAGCATTTAATTTACACCACGTGAACCCCCAGGCCACTTGCGCCACTAGATCTCCGAAAAAGCTTGGGCCCACGAGAAACTGACGCCTCTAGGTTAAAGCCGTGGCCCAACTATCAGCTTCAACTTCGAAGTATTATAGCTTGGAACTTGGTTGTCCCAGGCAGTTCTGTGGCGAGAAGTTTGTCTTTTCCGAGATTCCATTTTTTTCATCCAATAAGGGTCTCGTTACGCACACTTTATGTTTTTCCTGCTACTGTTCCTAAGAAGTTGCACCCCGCCTTTAAACGGCAGCACCCGAATCGCGTTGTTTGTGATTCGGCTTTCCCTGGAAAAAGCGGCGCCGAGAAGCTGCAGCAATATAGATGCCACGTGGCAGCGTATTTACCACGAGCACGCAGAGATTAGTCGAGATAAGATGCTTCTTGCGATCTTTCCCGTCGGGTACCCTCCCACTGGACGTAAATATGCTCCAGATTCACTCCCTCCTTACTTCCTACATAATCTCAATCCTTGGCCTGTCCAAAGTACGCCGAGATCTCAGTATCTTTGCTCCATTCGCACGAGCACACGAGGACACGCGACACACACAGCCTAGTACCCCCTCTATAGTCTGAGCGTGGCACGGAGAAAAAGGAGTCTCACTTCAGCTCAGACCCTGCATTTTGAATCGTTGCGAACTCCGAGCTCAACGTAGCGCCTGTCACATGGTACAGAGCTCTACTAAGCCTGCCGCATTCGAAGTCCTCAAAACTGCAGCCGTTGGCGAATCCACCAGCAGTCGTATGATACCATCGCATTCGCCCGCACCTTGCCATCGTCTGTAAACACGAACAAGTGAAACACTTTCCCTTCCCAGACGACTAGCATCAGCACCACCAGTGCTAATCCGTGATGGCTACTGTGCGAGTGGATGGCCCTTCTTCGCCCGCGCCGACTTCCGCCGTCGCAGATGTTTCAGACCGTGGCGATGCTGACGTCACTATCAATCTGATCACGCCCCGCCGTCAGCGCCGCGTTCGTCGCTCTGCGACGAGCGTACCTCTGCGGCCATCGTCGGTTCTACCAATTCCGACCTCAGCTTCTGTCGACAACGTGCTTCCGCGAAGCGCCGCTTCTCGCCCTGCGCGGCGCCGAACTGCTACAAACGGCGAGGTCGCAACATCTTCCGTTGCTACTAATGCCCCACAAATGACTCAATACGGCCCGCATCTGCCCGCACATTCCAGCGCCCCTCCTAGGGAACGCGGTGCCGCTTCTCCCGGGCAGCGTCGAAATTCCACCTCAACGGAGATTCTCGCCATTGCTGAACAGCTGTTCGGGCAGCAGCGTCCTACGAATTCGTCCGATGGAGATTTTCAGCGAAATGCTACGACTTACGCAAGACCTGCTGGGAGCATGATGGAGGGCGTGCGCGATCTGGAAGTGCTCGAGCGGAATGGCCAAGGAACAGCAGGTATGCGTGCACGACGAGGAGGGCTTTCGGAAAGAAGAGCCGAGTTGCTCATGAATCCTACGGCGCAATCAGAGGAATGGCGCAGTGAAGCTGAGGGGTTTCGGGTACAAACAACGGAGATGGGGGCGAGAGTGGAACGCGAATCTACTGTCGATGGGAGAACACTGAACAATGTGGATGGATGGTGGGATCTCGTTGGCGAGATGGAGAGCGAGATGCTGAGTGATTGTAGCCAGAGTGATTGTGGCAGCCTTCCCAATTCTTGCTTCGGCAGCTTCAAGAGCACCAGCTCGAGTTTCGGGGCCAGGGATTCCTCGCTGACCAGTTCCTTCGACGGGTGCAGAATTGGAAGTGGTTCATCTGCTAGTGCTTGCTACAGAAGAGGATCAGTGTTTGAACCTCTTGACCGATTCCCATACGGGAATGCCACCTTGGGTTTTTTTGCTTGAAATTGGACAGAATGTCATGTCAGGTGCGTCACCTAGGGCGTGATACATTTGCTAGTCCTAGGATCTTCATTCAGAAAATGTATCACGCCCTTGGGGATAAATTATGCCACTTGCTGGAAGGCCACATGAGAAAAGTGAGTCTTTGCAGACGTTCCTGTTTATTATGGTGTTACAATATTTATTGCCCATAACCGTATCTGATTGTGAATCCTCATGTAGGCGGCGTAAGTAGAAAGGTTTTGAGTAGATATGTTAATCACAATACTCTTTTGAATGTAGCTGTGATGAACATAAATGTCGAAACTTCCTGGTCGTTACTTTGTGAATATCTAGTTGAGTTGTAGCTATCACCAGAGATAGGCAAAGCTAGCATGTCTTCCAAATATCCTTGGGACTTCATACCACACATCAATCTACTCAATAATCGAAGTCGTGTATAACGGCACATGTCGTCCCTCAGTTTGAGGGGACGGGTCAGAGGTCTCAGATGCGGGTTGGCGGACTCGAACCGCAATCCGTTTTACACGTTGCTTGATTGGCTGAAGCAGCTTGAAGCTTGTTGCCCTGTACTGCTGCTGGCTTTTAGGCAAAAACCCGATTTCTCCTTGTTCTAGCCTTCTGCAAAGGCATCTCGGCAAAGTGCCTCACAAGCTTGAAACTGAATTTCCTCCAACTCACTCGCCATTTGCATTTCTGTGGGAATGTGGGTTGGGAATGCACAAACCTTTCCTCCCACTTCGCCAAATTGCACTCCATGCCACAGCAGTGCTGCATCCATACTGCCTTTGTTGTCATCATGAAGGACGATACAGTTCACGTGATCACGTAGAGGACACGAATGAGACAGAGGCTGCTCATCATTCACTCGCAAACACAACACAACACGAATGAGTGAATACTACAGCAGTGAATACCTACCTCCTGGATGAATGTATCGTAGCCAAAAGCAGGCCACATACAGCATCGGCAGGTGCGACAGGTGCGGCAGCAGTGGCAGCAGCACAAGAAAAATGACATCGGCCAGGACTAGGGGAACTCTATTACACTGTACAAGAAAAAAAGAGGTTGGCTCTTTAGTATTTCTGAGGCCACTCGGACATGATCGGTGGTTGGTTGGGACGTTGTCCGTCACTTCCCTTCCCTTCCCTTCCGATCGGATCTTGCCTCTACACATCTGTTCTCACCCTGCATCTCCAATCATCCTCCAATCGTCGGCGACTCGCGAGTCGCGAATGGTTCAATCAAGCGATGATTGAATGGCTTCCGGAAGCCTGCTTCGACGCGTCTCTTCGAATCCAACAAATCCGTCGCGATGCTGTAAGGCTGCCATTCGTAACGCCTGCACTTCGATGCCGCAGCCTCGTGTGTGCATCGACAGATGCACACCACGGTAGCACAGATGTAGTAGTGCCACCAGCACACCATCAGTACGTGTAGTAGCAACTGTGGCAGCGGCAGATCATTGCCCTTGGAGCGGAATTGCATAAATCCATCAGTCCACCGCCTTCGGGTTCACAAGCATCAGTCTATCTCCTTCACAAGTCGCAGCAGCTCCGCTGCAAATACGGTATTAGCGCCGCGCTAAACCAACACTCGCGCGCGCCGCGCGTCATCGTATGTTCCTAGCCTCGCGACACATAGCATCTTGACTGTCGTGGTCGCAGCGAGAAAGGGGAATTTCGACGAATCACCGCTTGTTGCGCAGCTAATCACTGATCGACTTTTACAGTACTACTGTACATCGCGGGTTCTGCTGCGAATGTTCTGCTCCAAAACTCGGCTCGCCGTCCTGATTCAGGCAATATCCGCGCTTTCTACGGTTTCGGAAACAGCGTTTCCGTACACGGATTATCTTTGGGAAGTGCGGCTTGGGGCAGACAAGCTCGCACTGACTAAAACCGAGCTTCGCATATGGTGCTCACATCCTCGGATTCTGGGCCACTTTCAAGCACCAAACACGACATCACTGAGTGGAGTTTTTGAAGCATTTTTCGTGAGTTTCTTGCGAGACATGGCATCCGACACTGGCGGCGTCGCTGCGTTGAGAGAACTCCACGCTTTGGCAGCGGACGTCAACGTCAATTTTCACGTCAGCAGGCCCCTGCGACGCGTCAAGCGCCGTAACTCCGCCTTGAAAGCCTCTCCCTCTATGGAAATTCTGTCCATCGCAGAGGAGATTTTCGGCGCGCAGCTATTGACGGAAGCACCTGACGTTATTCAGCAGGACGCGGGATTTCGAGGATTGCCGGCGGCAAGGTCGGCGGAGAATGCGGATGCCGAACTTGGAGCACGTGAGCCGCTTAGACAAGTTACTACAACGCGCGCTCGCCAAGTTGGGGAATCGTGGAGAGGGAGAGCTACCGACGAGAGGTATCCTGTTGCTTCTGAGCTTCTGGAAATCGGGGAGCGGGGAATGCGGCATGAAATTTTGTTGGCTGGGTTTTCGGAAGTGCGAGATGCAGGAGGCGCGGGAAGCGCAGGGGAACGCGAAGGGTTGGCGGAAACGAGGGCGAATAATTTTGCGAGAAACGCGGTGGGGGACGTTGATGGGTGGTGGAATTTCGTGGGCGAGATGGAAGGGGAGATGCGGAGTGACTGTAGCGGGAGTAGTTTCGACAGCTGCACGAACTGGAGCCGCTGCAGCAGCCTGTGCGACTTGGGCAGATGTTTCGATACAAAGAGCTCCCCACTTTCTTGTTCTTACAACGGGAGCCAATCAACTCGCTGGTGAATCTGCTGAAGGCTGCTATAGCGAGTACTAGTAAATAAAAGTCATAAGCTAAGCTTTTAGGGCCTCTAGACAACGGGACTGTAATGCATGTATTCCATGTATCATATGCAATATGTATAGACAAGCACCAATGTAATAAATTTCACTGGCCCAAAGGAGAGGTAACTTTAGAATGTCCACTAACGGCTGCATTTTGTCCCTCCCATCCCAAGCTTCAAAGCTATGATTCGGGTCGAAACTATGTGCCCTTCCATAGCATAAATAGACCGAAAGCCCTGATGTGTGCGTACTTGTGTGACGCCCGTTCTCAGGTTCTTTGTGATTGCTGATAACTCTCCGCATTATAGAATCGGTAGCTGAGGGGAGAGTGGAAGTAGGAAAGGGCACAGGGAGAATGGATGGGATGCAACAGGTGTTAGCGTGAATTGATTGTGCCACCACAACAAACCAATGTATGATATGGAGCATCAGCAATTCTTCACTTTTGCACTCAAACTGCAACCAGTGCACAGCACAGCAATCATCACCCACCACCATCACACCATGTCCAGGACCATCACACCCTACCACTAGCGCACCATACTCAACACCATCACACCGCACCACACCGCACCACACCGCACCCAACACCATCACACCATACCCCAACACCATCGCACCATACCCCAACACCATCGCACCGCACCCAACACCATCTATCACACACATCACGCACTTCATGTATGCGCCGTGCAGGAACGCGCTGGCTACAGCGGTCACGAAGAGACGGTCCCTCAGCTTGGGCTTGTGGCGCAGCGTGATTCGTACTGCGGGGGCGGCGGGAGTAAAGAGTGGAAATGGAAAAGGCAGAGGGAAAGCCAGGGGGAAGGCATGGGGAAAGGCAGGGGGAAGGCATGGGGAAAGGCAGGGGAAAAGGGGAATCAACGGGGAGGCAAGTGCAGGAGGGCGCATGAGAGATGGAGCGCGGACAGCAAGAAGGAACCATCTTCTCGACGGAACTTGAGATTTGGTCCGTGGCTGGGGGGATACAGAGACTCCGAGAGAACAGGTAGTAGGTGGGTGCGGGTTGTGCGGTGTGCGGGTAGTGCGGGTCAAGCTTTGAGAAAAAAAGGGGGGTTGTCAAGGAAGTACTTAGTGGGAAGAGCGGCGCGTAGAGGATGGGCGTGATGAGCGAGTAGTCAGGCGCCTTGGAGAAGCGACGCGCGGGTTGAATGGCCTCTACCCTGCGATCGTGGTACACATGCGCAAAGGGGGAAGCGGAGAAACGGAGAAACGGAGAACGGGGAATCAGGAAAACCGGGAACAGGGGAAAACGAGGAGACGGGGATGCGTCACGTCGGTGTGTGTGACTGCAGACGCGTGGCCTGCGTGCATGCGTCACGTCAGCGCGCGTGTTTCGGCTAGAATCTGCCAGAGTTGAAACGATGAGAAGATTCTGACCCGGTAGATGGAGCCGCACCCGCCGCCGCGACTGACGCCGCCGCGTCTTGCGCAAACGCCGCCATGCTGTACTAACTCGGCCCGGAGTAGTACTAGGAGGGTTGGCGAATCGCCGCCTCGCCGATTTTCGTGGATTCCGCAGAGTACAGCGCAAGTAGTCACCACGACGGTGTGTTAGCCGCCACGCTAGCGTTGATCGTGTGAGGCTCGCAGCAAGCTGCTTGCGTAAGTTTCCCCAACCCAACACTCACTCAGCAGAATGGTTTCCGTTCCGTCTGCTCTGTCGTAAATTTCTTTCTACCAATGGCGTGGCGCAAGTTGAGGGGGGTTTGGCATTCAAGCACGGGCGAATGGACGGACGGATGTGACGGACTGAAGAACGTGAAAAGCAGGATGCGAGCAGGGAAATTGGTTTGTGGGATGTGTGTAGGGTGAGCGCTGAGCTGGCAGCAGCTGGGGAGAGGTGACATGGCAGGGTCGTGCCTTCGCTGGAAATGTCGAATTCGCGAGCTTTCTGAGGGTGCTTCCGGTGTATTCGCATGTCCCTGCCTCTCACAAAGTTTGCGGTGTAGCTCTTCAAAATAAATGTTTCACTCTACATTTCACTCACTCTCACTACATTTCTTTCTCTGTCTGCTGGGAGAAAACAAGTCCACAACATGCTGTATATCCTGTATAATGGTGTACCGCAATACAACATAATATATTAACCTCAATCAGGGCAAAATTGGGTGTTTGGCTGAACAATACAGGGCGCAAAATCATCCACCAGCCACATCTGGTGGTTGGTACGAGTTAGGGTGAACCACCGCACTGACCGCAGTCAACCGCATAGGTTCGTCGACCACACGTGAATGCCATTGAGCGGGTCTGTCTGGGCGAATGAGCAGGCTGGAAGCCGGACTCCAGCAGACAGGAGGCAGGCTGCTTGTTCGGAGTGTCGGCTTCAATATCATTAGTGGCGAATGCAAGCATCGGTGCAATCGCTTGACTGTTTGCCAGTCGGGACAATTGCGCGAGTCAAGACTATTGCGCGAGTCTGGATGCAATGCCCGAGTGGTACATCGTGTCGTGATGCGTCTCCGATTCCTTCAGCATCTCCCGCAGCTTCCGAGCCTTCTCCGCCGTAAAAACCGGCGCCTTTCCCGCATTAATCTGCACCGGGACCGACCCATCCGGCCCGCGGTGAACCAGGGCTTTCTTATTCGCCTTCTTAGGAGTGAGGGTTAGCCCTGGAAGCGTGCGTTGCGGCGCGACTGGCGGAATTCTCAAAAGCCGGTTCGCTCGAAGGGAACCAGCCACGTCAGCATAAGCCTCAGCAGGAGCGCTGGCTGCGTTCGGCGGGGAGGCGAGGGAGCGATGAGGACGATGAAAATCGGGCGTCGCCGGGGGTACGTTCTGCGAATCGCTAGGATTCGCCAGCCAGTGTTGCGACGAGTCAAACGACGCATCGGAATGCGGCCACGAGGGGCCCATTACCGCCATCGTCGTCGTGCTGGCGGTCCTAGCAGCACTGCTGCCTGAGAGTGAGCTGTCGCCTGTCGAGTCACATGCTGCGGGAAGTCGCGAGCTAAGCTGCACGCCAAGAAAGGCCGACGGGGAGAGAGGTGTGGTCGCCATAGTTTAAAGCCGCGGTGCAACTATCTTAGGAACAGTGACAAGCCGGGTTTTGTCTTGTTCCGTACTGGTAGTCAATTGGCTAGCGAGTGTGTAAGTTGTGTTGCGATGAAAACATCCAAGGCGAATGTCGCGAACCTCGAAAGGAAAAGTGGGGGGGAAGGGGTGGGGGGAAGGGAAGGGGGGAACACACACGAAACGGGAAATGGGACCACATCAACACCCCCATACTCCCTTTCGCTGATTGTTCTGCCAATAACACCTCCACATTGCAAAACGATAAACCTTATGTTTCATAAAAACTTTGCAAAATACATATTTCACTTACAAGGTTTATTTTGGTTTATTTATCCATCCATTTGCAAGAGTATTATTTCTAATGGGGAGAAAGAACATCAAATGTACAGACCTGCAAGACTTGGAATGTCATATTGAAATCCTTATCATGCAAAGGATCGCAAGCAAACAACATGGCATAATCCAAGGAGAGCCGATTTTTACACTCCGATCCACTATTGGTGCAGCTGTCCATTTACAGGGAGGAGGGGGGAGGGGGAAAGGGGAAGGAAACGTTGCGCATTATTGAAGAATGTTAGGTAGGGAAATTGAAGAGAGCATGGAAACTGAGATATGATAGACAGCCTTCAGTGGCCAAGCAAAGCTGGTACTGTTGGCTGAATTGAACGAGAGAACGTAGTGGAAAGGGAAGGGACGGTAGTGGGGGAAGGCGAGGGGCAGGGGAGGGGGGAAAGGGATGGCTGAGAGAAGCGTGAATGGTGGGAGAGGACAGTAGGAAAGGGAAGGGATGTGAGAGAGGGGGAGGAAAGGTGGGAGGGAAGGACCGGGGGAAAGGGAGAGAAGGACAGGGGGAAAGGGAGAGAAGGACAGGGGGAAATGGAGAGGAGGACTGGGGGAAAGGGAGAGGAGGACAGGGGGAAAGGGAGAGGATGACAGGGGGAAATGGAGAGGAGGACAGGGGGAAATGGAGAGGAGGACAGGGGGAAAGGGAGAGGAGGACAGGGGGAAAGGGAGAGGAGGACAGGGGGAAAGGGAGAGGAGGACAGGGGGAAAGGGAGAGGAGGACAGGGGGAAAGGGAGAGGAGGACAGGGGGAAAGGGAGAGGAGGACAGGGGGAAAGGGAGAGGAGGACAGGGGGAAAGGGAGAGGAGGACAGGGGGAAAGGGAGAGGAGGACAGGGGGAAAGGGAGAGGAAAACAGGGAGGGCACTGCCCAAGAGAAGTTGATGCTGAGGACCGGGCAAGGGATCGGAAAGGGGGAGGCATTGGAGAGGAATAAATATGGAGGGGGACGCGAGATGCTTCGCCACCGTCGCACAGATGCTTCGCCCCGCTGCTCGCTATCGTCGCCCTGGTGCTTGCTATCGTCGCCCTGGTTGTCGCTATCGTCGCCTTGATGCTCGCTATCGTCGCCCTGGAGCTCGCTATCGTCGCCCTGGTGCTCGCTATCGTCGCCCTGCTGCTCGCTATCGTCACCCCGCTGCTCATATCGTCGCCCCGCTGCTCGCTATCGTCGCCGCACCTAGTTCAAGCGTGAGAGTTTGCCGAGTTTGAGTTGTTTTGAGTTCAAGTTTGAATTTTCAAGTTTGCTGCATGCGCTCCCCCTCAACTCGTTGAGCGGAGCTTTTCCCCGAGCCCTCCCCCGTTTCCCCCCCACACACATCATACTGCGAAGGACTTTTCCGCACGCCCTTCCCCCGCTGGCAGAAACCTCTCCCTGCTCGCTTTCCTGTGTATACTGGGTTACGCGGCTTTCAAACTATAATAGTTTGAACTGGAGCCCGGATATCTGCACCGCGGCTTTAAAATGAGTGACAGCTTGATTGACCCAACAGATCGTGAAGGCCTGCGAGTCCAAGATGCTTCGCGTGGATTGAGATAAAGCGCTGTTGTTGGTTCTTCGGTGGAGCTGATCATCAAATAGATTAGATGACTAGAAGCGGGTGACGGAGAGAGCAGCGCATGTCATGTCGACTCATCGTCGTCAGGCGCATTCAAAAATTTGATGTGGGACTAGGCGGTGCGCGGGAGTTGAGAGAAAATTCGAGTCGCCAAATTGGGAATGCAAAGCGCACATGCGAGCAGAATGTACCATTGGCTGCGCGGGATTGATGGGCACTTCCCCCTTACGACATGCAAAGCCGAAGATGAGACACTCGTGCCGTTTCTCGAAAGCCCGCGAAGCCGGTGGTGACAGACCCCACTTTCGCAGCGCCTGGACGCTTGTTTTTTTGGCTCGTGTGCAATTTCGAAAGGTCCAGCCATGCCTTGATAAACGCGGGAAGAGTGAGCTACACTCACACTTATTCTTAGAGAATTACACATAATAAAAGGCTTATTTCCCATACAGGCAACAATGTGTCAATGGCAAGCGCTTACATCCATAATTAGAAGCCATTGCTGGCTACTTTGCCAAGCAATGCTGTAAAGGTAAATGAACAAATAATTGTGTTGGGGCAAACAACGGCATTCCAAAGGGCTCTCTAGAAAACATTGGAGTGTTGGAGTGTTAGTTGACTCGAGGTGTCTGTTCTAAGAGCTCATCCATCCATTGAGGAGCGGCGGCCCTGCTGATGCTGACCCGAGCTGCTGTGCGCTCCTCTTTGCCGAGACGCCTGAAGCAATGGAGGAAGGTGGGTGGGGAAATCCTAATCAATTGTCCACCCAATCGTGAGGTGACGCTGCAGCTAATCTCACACCTATCTGCCTAACAGAAACGACTGAAATACACAGCAGCATACACACACACATACAAGGCAGCACACACACGCGCACACACCCCCACCCCCACCCCCAAATGCACACACACATACGATGTCTCTCTCTCTCTCCTGCTCTCTCCTGCTGCCACTCCCAACACCTGCTCACCTTAGTCGGTGTTTCACCCACCTGTTCCCTGCCACTGCCACTCCCAACACCCGATTCATCTTGCAGCTTCGACAGCCGATGCCCAGCCGCCGTTGCTCTCCCGCCCGCCTCCCTCCCTCCTCGCCCCTCCACCTCACGCCCTTCCCTCCCCTCCATATCCTGACCCACCCTCCCCTCTGCCCTCCCCTCCACCCTATTTTCAGCCCTCAAGTCGCCCCGCCCGTCCATGTCACGAGCTGTGGGTGAGTCGTCAAGAGAAAACAGGCCACCTCCCCCAGCACCCCCTCCCCCACCCCCCCCACCACCACCGCCGCCGCCGCTGCCACTGCCTGCTGCTCGAGCCGCTTCCCTATTCCTGCGCCTGCAGGTGTAGAGAGCGGTAGAAAGGGGTGGAGAAGGGAGAAAGTAGAGCGTGAAAACACAACAATAGTGGCCACAAGGGGTACGAGCTCAAGAGAAATAGCGGAAGAGGGCTACAATCGCAAGAGCACACATCACAGTATCACCGAGATGACTTTTGAGTCGACTCAAGAGAAAGATCCCAACAGGGAGAGCGCAAGAGGGCGACAGTCGCAAGAGCACACAGCATTCCGGGCACTCAGCAAAGCATCCATCGAGCACTCAGCATTCCGGGCTCACAGAGGATTGCGTTGGGATTGAGAGAATGCTCACAGGGGATCGGGCTGTGCTTGAGCGCCGGGCAGCAGATTCCCAAACTTGAACTCCGCTCCTCCGCCCTCCACCTCCTTCCCCCCTCCCCCTCCCCCTACCCCTCCCCCGCCCCTCCTCGCCCCTCCCTCCTCCATCCCCGTCCCTCTCCTCCCACCCCCTCCTCCCATCCCTCCTCCTCCCCCCATTCCCATTCCCGCTCCCCCCATCCTCCCCCCACCGCTCCCCCCTCCGCCACTCCCCTCCCCCAGGTCAAACTCCCCTTGGAAAATATTTCTGCCGGCAATGCCAGGCGGGGAGAGAGTGGGCGATGTAACAGCAGAGCTAGAACCATACACCTCGTCAAACCACGAGTCCCTGCCTCCCAGCCCTCCTCCCCCCACCCCTCCTCCCATCCCTCCCCCCAGCCCTCCTCCCCCCATCCCACCTCCCCCCATTCCCATCCCCCCCATCCCTCCTCCCCCCATCCCGCCTCCTCGACCCATTCCCCCTCCCATCCCCCCACCGAATCCCCTACCCCCCATACTACTGCTGGCACCACCACTGCCGCCCCTCATGCCCATCCCCATCCCCATGCCCATGCCTCCACTCCCCCCCCCTGCCCCTCCACCCATACCCGCCCCTCTCGCGCCTGCCCCCACTCCTGCTCCACCCGAACCTCCCATCATGTCCCCCGTGCCTCCGAGGCTGCTTCGGGGACTTGGTCTGGACCAGGGCCCTTCCAACCCTAGCCCGCCCATCATCTCATCAATATCGAAGCTCTCCCGACCCATGCTCGCCGAAGCAAACGAAGAGGCTCGGGACATAATCGCATCCGGCGGGAAATTCAACAGCGGCCCGTTCTGATCCAATCGCACGCCGCCACCTGGCGGAATCCCCACTCCCCCTTCCCCTCTCCCGCCCGCCCCTCCCCTCCCTCCCGCTCCCCCGTCCCTCCTCCCTCCCTCCCCTCCCCCTCCCCTCCCTCCCCTCCCGAAATCCCCGCTCCCACCACCACTCCCTGCACCAGGCCCACTCCCTGCCCCACTATTCGCCCCATTCCGGGAAAAACTTAGCAGATTTTTCTTGAGTTGACTAACATGCCTGGCGTCATCATTCAACTCCCTCACATGCTGATCCAACGTGGCTTTAAGATCCGTCAGGTGCTGGATGCGGCGGCGTCTGTCGTCCTCATCTGAGACCTCCTGGGCGGCAGCCATCTGGCGCTGCCAGTCCTGCCGGGCGGCCTCTATGACTGCTTGTCGTTCTTTGAGATACTTCTGCTGCTCCGCTGCGAATAGCTTTGCTTGCTCCACCATGGATGCTCGTTCGCTGGTGGGGCACACGGGAAGGGAAGAGAGGAAGGAGGAGAGGTGGGGAGGGGGCAGGGGGACGAAGCACAGCATTGAGGGCGGCAGCCATCTGGCGCTGCCAGTCCTGCCGGGCGGCCTCTATGACTGCTTGTCGTTCTTTGAGATACTTCTGCTGCTCCGCTGCGAATAGCTTTGCTTGCTCCACCATGGATGCTCGTTCGCTGGTGGGGCACACGGGAAGGGAAGAGAGGAAGGAGGAGAGGTGGGGAGGGGGCAGGGGGAAGAAGCACAGCATTGAGGGCGGCAGCCATCTGGCGCTGCCAGTCCTGCCGGGCGGCTTCGATGACAGCCTGGCGCTCCTTCAGGTATTATTGTTGCTCCGTGGCAAACAGCTTTGCTGGTGCTTGCTCACTGGTGGCGGAGGGCGGGGGAGTAAGTGCGATGTGTGACACAGTAGGGGTGGAATGAGTCTCAACTTTAAACTGATGCTCTCTCTTGTAGCACCGTGAAATCTTTTGAGACGTCTCGAAAGTGCCAAGTGTCTCAAAAGTGCCAAGTGTGATACAACATGGGTGGAGATTGGAATGAGTCTCAACTGCAGGCCAATGCTCTCTTTCATAGCACCGTGAAATGGGAGTTTTTGAGAATTCTCAAAAACTCCCTGCAACGTGGAGATTGGGATGAGTCTCAACTCCATCCAGGCCAATGCTCTCTTTCGTAGCACCGTGAAATGGGAGTTTTTGAGAATTCTCAAAAACTCCCTGCAACGTGGAGATTGGAATGAGTCTCAACTCCATCCAGGCCAATGCTCTCTTTCGTAGCACCGTGAAATCCAACGGCTCATCAGAAGGAAGGACACACAGGAACTCATTTGAGGTTCATCAAATCACCTGAAGGGCACCTGACAGCGCACCTGAAGAACACCTGAATGCTCACCTGAAGGGCACGCCCTCCTCATCAAAGAGCTCGTCTCCGTTGTCCATGCCCTTCCTGCCGCCCCCTGGCCTGAACTCCCTATCCACTAGCTCCTGCAGGCAGAACAGAAGCAACCAGATCAAACAGAAACAGAGGCGTTGAGAGGAGTTGAAAAGATTTGAGAGGGGTTGAAGAGCTCGTCTCCGTTGTCCATCCCCTTCCTGCCGCCCCCTGGCCTGAACTCCCTATCTGCTAGCTCCTGTAGACAGAGACACACAGGACAAACAGAAACAGATGGACGTTAGAGGCGTTGAAATGGGTTGAGTTGAGAGGAGTTGAGAGGAGGTGAGAGGAGTGGAGAACGGTTGCGAGGAGCGGAAGAGCTCACCAGGTCAGACCCCGACTCGCTCCACTCTGAGTAATAATCCGCAACGTCGTTCGGCTGCCGTGCCGCCTTCCCGCTGTTGCGATTCCTCGGGGGGTGACCTTTGAGTCGACCTAAAACTCACCAAACTCAGACCCCAACTCGCTCCACACGGAGTGATAACAGGTTTGTGTTGTGTTGAGACGAGACGTCTCAGAACAAAAAAGATCACGTGGCTAAAGTCACCAGATCAGACCCCGCCTCGCTCCACTCGGAGGAATAATCCGCGACGTCGTTCGGCTGCCGTGCCGCCTTCCCGCTGTTGCGATTCCTCAGGGGGTGATTATTTAGTCGACCTAAAACTCACCAGATCCGACCCGGATTCGCTCCACTCGGAGTAATAATCCGCCACATCATTCGGCTGCCGTGCTGCCTTCCCGCTGTTGCGATTCCTCGACCGCCTCTGCCCCGGCTTCGCCCACCCCCGCCCCATCCAGTCCCCAGCCAACCCCGCTGCCTCCCCCTCCCCCCCCGCCACCCCCAGAGTCAACCTCGGGAGCTCTGACGAACTTTCCCCGAAGTTGCTTCCCGAATCGTCAGGAGATCCCAATGGATGCGGCCCCAAGGCTACTGCTGCTGCTGTTCCTTGCCCCTCCGCCCCTCCCACTCCTGCGCCAGCAGCCCCTGCTGCTTCACCCACCGCCTTCCCCCCTCCCCCTCCGTCTCTCCCACCAACATCCAACCCGCCAGCCCCATCCGCCCCTACCTCTCCCCGCTCCCCCCTCTCCCCCCGCTCTCCCCCCGCACCCCACACGGCAGCGCCTCCCCCTGTGGCCTCCAGGGGGAGAGAGTCCACGTCCTTCTTGCTGTCAGCCTCATCAGATCGATCCGGCTCAGCACTCCCTAGGGCACTCGCTGCACTCGCAGCTACTTCACCACCCGCTGCCGCCGTCGCTGTTGCCCCTGCCCCTGCCCCAGCCCCTCCTGCTGCTGCCCCACCTGCTGCTGCTGCCACTGCTGCTCCTGATGCTCCTGCTGCGTTAGCTTTCTCCTGCTGGTGATGCTGCTGCCGGTCTTGTTGCCCCTCCAGCTGCTCTGGCTCTTCAGACATAGACCCTCCCTCCTCCACAAGCCCCCCTCGCCCTTGCCCTAAATCCAAACCCTCCCCTTCCTCCTCTTCCTCCTCCTCACCTTCTCCCTCTTCCTCCTCCTCCTCCTCCTCCTCCTCCTCCTCCTCCTCCTCCTCCTCCTCCTCCTCCTCCTCCTCCTCCTCTCCCTCTTCCCCGTCCCCACGCTCCCCTCTCCTCCGCACTCCCTTCCCTCTGCCTCTCCTCCCTCTGTCCTCCCCTGTACCCGGTTCAAACTCCCTACTAGCACTCAGCCCATGACTGAGACTCACATCTGACTCCCCTCCACTCCTTAGCTCTTCCAGCCAAGACCCGCCCATATTACCCCCACCCATTCCCCCTACGCCCCCGCCCATCCCTCCCATCCCTCCTCCGCCGCCCACTCTCCCTCTCGCTCCTCCCGCTCCTCCTCTCCCTCCCATACCCTCCCCACCCCCACCCACCTTCTCATTAGCTACCTCTAATAGCCTGAATCCCCCTCCACTCCCCCCACTCCCATCCATCAACCTCATCCCGCCCATCCCCCCCATTCCCCCCATTCCGCCCCCCATCCCGCCAAACATTCCCCCTCCGCCCCCGCCCATCCCCCCTCCCATCCCCCTTACCCCACCCGAACCTAACCCGCCGAACCCAACCTGCTGGTGCGGGTTCCGGTTCGCACCCCTCCTCCCCTGCTGCTTCCCGTCCTCTCCCCCCACACCCCCTCCTCTCCCCTCCACGCCACTCGACTCACTCTCTAGCGCATTACTCAACAAATTCCTTCTCTGCTCGTACTGCCTTCTCACCTTCGCCTCCTCCTGCGCCATAAGCTCCCTCCACCCTCGCCTCATCTCCCTCTCTTCCGCCTTCAACTCGCGACTCAGAATCTCCAGCCGTCTCACCCGCTCCTCCTCTACCTTCTTCCTTAGAGTCACCTCCATCTCCCTCCGCATAGCCTCTAACCTAATCTGCAGGTCCACCCTCATAGACTCCACCTTTTTCTCCACCTTAATATCCAGCTCAATCTCATACCTCTCTAAAGCGTGCTTCGCTTCCCGTCTTAGTCTCAGCTTCTCTCTCTCCAGCCTCACGCTGAGATCCGTTCTGAAAGCCTCTAGAGCATGCGACGCCCTCAGTTCCATTTCCTGCCTCTGCCGCTTATACTCCCGCTCAATCCTCACTAGATCTCTCTTGTTGCTCTCTCTCGACCTCACCTCTCTCTCCTCTGCCGCCACTGTCGCCAGCATTCTTTCCCTATAATCCCTTACTTCCTCTTCTACCCGCCTCTTCATCTCTTCTTCCATCCTCCGCCCCTTCTCCTCTCTCTGCTGCACCACCCACGCCTCCTGCTGCTCTGGTTCCATCTCATCCCATTCCTTCCTCATCTGCCCCAGACTCTCCTCTCTCTCACTCGCGATTTGCTTTCTTAACGAAGCGTCCATGACTTTTCGGGCAGCTTGCAGCCGAACCGCTCGTTCCTCCTCGAGCAATTTTCCAATCTGCCCGTCCACCTCAGCAACCTTCTGCTCCCAGATCTTCCGCTCAATCTCCTCCTCCTTCTCCCTTCTCAACTTCTCATACCCCTCTGCCACGTCAGCGTCCACTTTACGCGCCAGCTCAGCGAGCCGCTCCTCTTTCTTGGCCTCCCATTGGCCGATAAGATCCTCCTCCATTTCCTCCCAACGCCTTTGCTTCTCCGTCTCAACCTCCTCTTCTAATTCCTCCATCATTTCCTGCCTCCTCACCTCCCTCTCTCTTTCCAACTCCTCCTCTTCCTCCTCCTCCCCATCCTCATCCTCCTCCTCTCCCCCATCTTCCTTCCCCTTCTTCCCTCCTCTCTTCCTACCCTTCCTCCCACTCCCCTTCACCCCAGCACCAGCAAGCTCCCTCCTCCGCCACTCCTCCACCTCCTCCTCCACCTCCCTCTTCGCCTGCTCCATCAACTCCTCCCTCACCGAACCTGCCCAGCTCTCAGCCTCGGCGCCGAACCTATCCTCCACCTTCTTCCGAACCTGCGCTCTCATCTCCTCCAGAAGCTTCTTCTCTTCTTCCTGCACAGCCCGCCTAGCCCTCTCTCTCATCTCCTTCTTCCTCTCCTCCACCACACCCTCCATAGCCCTCTCTTCCCCCTCCACAGCCTCTTCTAGCCGCCTCTCTATACTCGCTTTAAGCCTTTCCCTTTCCCGCACCTCCCTCTCCTCTGCCTCTTTTCTCATCAGTGCAATCTTCTCTCCTAACTCCCCTTCCAGTAAATCCTTCTCTAGCTGAATCACCGCGCCCTTCCCTCCTCTACCCAACGCTTCTGCCCTTTGCTCCATCTCCCCCCTCCTTCTAGCCAGCAACGCAGCTTCCTCTCCTCTCGCCTGCTCTCTCACTCTCTCCTCCGCCTCTTTCCTCAACCTCTCCAGCTTCCCAGCAGCTTCCTCCTCGGCCCGAGCCTTCAAAGCAGCGGTCACAGCACCACCAGCACCATCAGCACCCACCACCTCCCCATTCACCCCCTTCTCCTTCTTCATCCGCGCTACAACCTCCCTCTCTTCCTCCTTTAACGCTTCAACCACCTCAGCCACCCTCTGTTCACTCAACTCTTTCCTCTCCTCCTCCAGCGACCACCGCACAATCTCTAGAATCTTCCCTTTCTCTCCATCCATGGCAATCCCAGCCTCCTCTGCAACTCCCCTCGCCCTCCCAACCACACTCTCCCACCCTTCCTCTTGCACCCCCTCCACCTCAGCCTCTACCCTCCTCCAAGCCTCAAGCAACCTCGCCTGTCTCCTCCTCTCCGCCTCCTCCCCAGCCTCCCGCTCCGCCCGATCCAACACCTCCTTCCGCCGAACCTCCACGAGCCGCTCCCGCTCCTCCGCGACAGCTTCGGCAACACGGGAAGCCATTTCTGCCCGTTCCTGGGCGACTATCCGCCTCTCCTCTTCCCCCAGCTTCGCCCGCACCCGCTCTCTGATGCCCTTGAGGGTTGATTCCCGCTCCCGCCGCTCCTCCTGCTCTACCACTCGCTCCACGCGTGCTGCTGCTTCTCTCCGTGCGAGCTCGAGCATTCGCTGCTCTTCCTCTGTGGCTGCGGCCTTCCATCTGGCTAGGACTTGCGGCTGAGGGGAAGAGAGAAAGGGGTGGGTAGAGGGTGAAGGGAAAAGGATAAGGTAACGGAAGTGTGTAAGGACTTGATATACTTACATTACCTCACCTCCACCCCCCACCTCCTCACCTCCAGCTCCATCCCTCCCACTCACATTCTCCTGCTTCAGTGCCGCCCGCCAGCGGTTGAGAACCCCCTGCTGCCGAACCACCTCTTGACGCGCCTCAAAAGTCACCTGCATCTCCCACCCCCATCCTCTCATCTCCAACTCCCATCCCCCCCACCCCCTCACCTGCACCCCCAGCCCCATCCCCACAGCTCCAACCCCCACCTTTTCCCCATCAGACCGCCTACCCTGCCTACACTCACATTCTCCTGCTCCAGTGCCGCCCGCCACCGGTTCAGAAACTCCTGCTGCCGGGTCACCTCCTCCAGGTTCACCAGCGCCACCCAGCCCACATGCTCTCATCTGCACCCCCCACCCCCTCACCTGCTCCTCCCATCCCCATACCTGTACCCCCCATTCCCCCCACTCACATTCTCCTGCTCCAGAGCCGCCCGCCAGCGGTTGAGAAACTCCTGCTGCCGGGCCACCTCCTCCAGATTCACCAGCGCCACCACCTGAGGATCCACCTGCAGGTGCCGACGCTCCAGGGCCACCTTCAGGGAAGCTTCCTCTCGGAGCACAGCCATGGCTCGCTGCCTCTCCCGCTCCACCTCCTCCTTGGCTGATGCTACGGCTGCATCACGTTCTCTCGTGATGAGCGCTCTCCCCTCGTCCACTGCTACGCTGCGCGCTTGGGTGAGTGCCCCTGCATCAAAAGGCTGGTTGGGAGGGGCAAGACAAGGGGGTTGATCCATATAAGCCTCACTGCCTTGCGTGTGTCAGCGCTCCCGCGTCAAAGGGCTGTGCCGGAGGGCAGGACAGGGCCTTGGAAGGGGAAGGGGTAATGAAAAGACTGAGTCACTGCTCTCTTGCTGCCTCGCTGCCTCTCCCGCTCCACCTCCTCCTTGGCTGCTGCCACGGCTGCGTCTCTCTCCCTCGTGATAAGCGCTCTCCCCTCGTCCACTGCTACCCTGCGAGCCTGGGTGGGTCGAGTTTTGAGTCGACTCAAAACTCGTCGCCCCTCGTCCACTGCTACACTGCGAGCCTGGGTGGGAGCTCCGGCGTCAAAGGGCTGGTTGTGAGGGCGGGACAGGGGGAGTGGAAGGGGAAGGGCTTGTGACTGTGTCACCTCCTCCTTGGCTGATGCTACCGCTGCATCGCGTTCTCTCGTGATAAGCGCTCTCCCCTCGTCCACTGCTACACTGCGAGCCTGGGTGGGTCGAGTTTTGAGTCGACTCAAAACTCGTCGCCCCTAGTCCACTGCTACACTGCGAGCCTGGGTGGGAGCTCCGGCGTCAAAGGGCTGGTTGTGAGGGCGGGACAGGGGGAGTGGAAGGGGAAGGGCTTGTGACTGAGTCACCTCCTCCTTGGCTGATGCTACCGCTGCATCGCGTTCTCTCGTGATAAGCGCCCTCCCCTCGTCCACTGCTACACTGCGAGCCTGGGTGAGTGCTCCGGCGTCAAAGGGCTGGTTGAGAAGGGGGGACAGGGGGAGTGGAAGGGGAAGGGCAGATGATTGAGTCGAGTCCGATTCAACAGCTGTCAGATAGGCTCGGCTGGTTGCGTGAATAGGATGGAGGCGATACCGCAGGAAGCCCCGGATGCAGTTGGACAAGTCAAAATGCCCATCAGGGAGCAGCAGAAGAGCCAGTCGCAGCACTCACCGTGCCGAGTTGCTCCGCCAGCCGTGTGATCTCCGCCTCTCTGCGCCTCACGAGCGCCTCCCTCTCCGCCTTGAGCTTCAATATTCCCCTCAGAATCACCTTTAGCAGCCCCTGCCAGTGACAGCACTCACCGTGCCGAGTTGCTCGGCCAGCCGGGTGATCTCCGCCTCTCTGCGCCTCACGAGAGCCTCCCTCTCCGCCCTGAGGTCTAATATTCCCCTCAGAAAGCACCTGACGCACCCCAGCCAGTCACAGCACTCACCGTGCCGAGTTGCTCGGCCAGCCGGGTGATCTCCGCCTCTCTGCGCCTCACGAGAGCCTCCCTCTCCGCCCTGAGGTCTAATATTCCCCTCAGAAAGCACCTGACGCACCCCAGCCAGTCACAGCACTCACCGTGCCGAGTTGCTCCGCCAGCCGGGTGATCTCCGCCTCTCTGCGCCTCACGAGAGCCTCCCTCTCCGCCTTGAGCTTTGCCAGCCGCCCGTCACACTCCGCCTCGTACCGTGCTATTCGCCTCTGTGCTGCTGCTGCTGCCTCCCTTAAGCGAGTCACCTCATCGTCCTGTATTCAGGTGTGAGGGAAAGACAGGGCGAGAGAGTAAGGGGGAGTCAGGATGATGAGACACACTCCGCCTCGTACCGTGCTATTCGCCTCTGTGCTGCTGCTGCTGCCTCCCGAAGGCGCGTCACTTCGTCGTCCTGTAGGGTAGGGGGAGACAAGGCTTTTGAATCAGGAAGAGTCCGGGCGCGTCAGGGGGGATTAAGGGAGGGTCATGGCGAGTCAGGGCGAGTCAGGGCGGGTCAGGGCGGGTCAGGGCGGGTCAGGGCGGGTCACACTCCGCCTCTGCTGCTAACCGAGCAATATGCCTCTGCTCTGCCCACACGCCCACATAGTCCCTCCCTGCTCCACAAGAACCTACACCGAGCTCCACACCTCACACTCCGCCGTACCCCACCACACCCGTCCATACCTCACCACATCCCTCCATACCCCACCGCATTCCTTCATACCTCAGCATCATCCTTGGGATCCTGGGAAAGCGACTCCCGCTCCTGCAAGCACACAGGGGGGGGGAGGCAGGGGAAGGGAAGAGAGGGAAAGGGCGAGATGTGAAGAGACAGAACGAGGAAAACCGGGTTTAATACGGCTGAACGCACGGATCGAACACATGGGGGGGAGGTAATGGAGAGAGGAGAGATGAGAGGGGAGGCGAACAATGAAAAGGCCTAAAGTACTGAAGACAAAAGAGGGTCTGCACGGAGAAAGGAAGAAAGGGTTTAAGATGCTACGAACTATTATCCAACTTCCCTCCATCTCCTCCTCCCAGACTCCCACCCCCCTTCCCTCCAACTGCCTCCCGCCCGCCACACCCAACTAGGTTTGTTTGGGGCACCTCAAACCCAGCTACAACCACCCACAGTTACACCCACCTTAGCTGGCCCTCCTTTACCCGCCACCTCCTCCCCTTCCCGCTTCTGTCTCTCCGCTGCTGCAACCGCCAGTAAACCGCCAGAGCCACCAGCCTGCACAACCCCTTGCCCCGCCCCCCCTTGCACCCCTCCTGCAAGCCGCCCATCAGCCAGCCCAGACGCCTTACGAGCACCACCTGCACCACCTGCACCAGATACGCCTGCCCCAGCCATCCCCCCCCCTGCAGCAGCAGCACCACCTGGTGCGCCTGCACCACCACCAGCGGCACCAGTAGCTGCTGCTGCAGCAGCGCCCCTCCCCTGCTGCTGCTGCTTTGGGTCCTCAGCTGGCTTCGCCCAGGAGCCCTGCGTGGGGGGCAAGGGGGAGAAGGAGAGAAAGAGTACGTGATTGTGATGCACGTAAGAGACAGAAGCGAGATAGACGAAACGAGGAACGAAAAACGGGAGAACCGAGAGTGGGGTACAAGCGGGGCTGCTTGCTTCTTGTCACAGGAGATAAGCCCCCCTTGCACAAACACCGCCTGTTCCATACCCGCCTGTGCAGATCCCAATAACAATAAGACAGGCTACCATCGCACTGCGGGTGATAACTCGGCATAAGACGGGGCAAGAAGGCAAGATGGCTATGTCCGCTGCAGATTCGCCTGTCTGGCTGTGTCCTAGCCTCCAAGCACGCACCTGTCTGGCGATGCCTGCAGCGGACTGTGTGGCCCGGGCACCTGAAACATGGCCGGGGAAGGGGGGTGCGGGGGAAGGGGGGTACGGGGGAAGGGAGAGAGTGGGGAGTCGGGCGGGTGGTGAGGGATGTGGAGGCAGAAAGGGAGTTGGTGGTATGAGAGTGAGGACGGAAGGGGCAGAGGGGGCAAGGCAGAGAGACAGCATGGTGAGACAGCATGACAATCTAATAACCCTTGGCTCACTGACTCACACGCGAGAAGTGCACTAGTTGCCCTAGTAGTGCTTCCTTGGTGATTCACTCACCTCTCTGCTGAGGATCTTGACTAGCCTCACCCCCTCCTCCTCTTGAGTAACCCTGCATGCCCTGACTGCTGCCCTGACTGTTACCCACTCCCCCCTGGGCATCCGTGCTGCTGGTTCTCTTCGGCCCTCCTCTCCCCGCCCCCTCTCCCCCCCGCCCATCCCTGGGATCCCCCCTCTCCGCAGATCTCTCCCCCGCCCTCTCCCCCACCCTCTCTCCCCCCATGCCACTCCCCCGCCCCTCCAAAGACCTCCGCCTCTCCTTCCCCTCCCCCTCCTGCCTTCCCCCCACTCCTTCTCCTCGCTCTTCCCTCCTCTCCCTCCCCTCCCTGCCCTCCCTCCCCTCTGCTCCTCCCTTTACCACGGCCCCCACACCACCCACTCCTGCTCCCACCGCTCCCGCTCCCCCTCCCCCCGCTTCCCCTCCCCCCCTATCGGAACTCCCCGGTCTTCTGCTGCTGCCTGCTTCCCCCCTGCCCCCACCCTCCCCACCACCCCCTGCTCCTCCTCCCGCTCCCCGCCGAACCTCCTGGTTCTGGTTCGGCATACCGCCGGTCCTCCGAGGGACCATCCCATGCTTCTGCTGTTGTTGTTGCTGCTGCTGGTGGTAACCCTCGGCCCCTCCTCTGCCGCCCCCTCTACCCCCACCCCCACCTCCCCCTGTTCCCCCTCCCCCTCCTCCCCCTGCTCCTGCGCCTGTCCCCTGTCCCCCCGCCCCAGCAGCAATAGGCACACCACCGGGGGATTGTGAGACTGGGATTCCAGATGCTGCTGCTGCACCTGGTGCTGATGCTGATGCAACAGCAGCGGCGGACGAGGGTGGTCTGGTGCCCGTTTCGTCGTCAGACGTTTCCCACTCCTCTGCTAGATAAGGGGAACACAGGGACGGGCGCGTGAGACAAGACAGGGGGTTCATTGGGTGAAGGCAGATCGTATTTCGGAGTTTCAGAAACGCACAGAGCTATGCATTCATATGTCTGTCCGTCAATCCATCCATCACTTTCACACCATCATACGTCCCCTCCTAGACCAACATCCACCATCCCACATTTACCTACCAGACACCAGCACCAATCAAAGCCATTCATCACCACCCAAGACCACTCTGCACCACTCTGCACTGCTCACCATCCGTTTCTTCCAAAATTGTGGGCTTTCCCTTGATAGCAGCCCCCATGGACCCTGCCCGAGCCAGAGAGCTAGCCATGGGAGACCGCCGACCCTGCCCAGGTTCGGGAGACCACGTGACCTGATGCAGGAGCTCTACCTCCTGCCCCGAACCTCCTACCGAACCTGTCGCCGGCCCTCCAGCAGCCGAGCCTCCACCTCCTGCTCCTCCTCCAGCAGCCCCCGAACCTCCACCTGCCCCTGTCCCTGCTCCCGACCCGGCCGGTGGCCTCCTGCTTTGCTGGTTACCCCCTTGCCCTTGCTCCCCCTGCTGCTGCTGCTGTCTCGCCTGCCTTTGCTGCTGCTGCTGAAACTGCTGCTGTTGTTGCTGCTGTTGCTGCTGGAGTCTCATCTGCTGCTGGGAAGCAGCAGCAGCGCGCGCCATGCCTCTGTCGTCCTCTGAGCTGTCTGTGATGGAGAGACGCCCCCGCCCCTGTGGCACTCCTGCATGGAAAGAAAACAGGGGATGGGGTTGATTTTAGGAGAGAAAACAACAGCAGCAGCAGCAGCACCAGCAGCAGCAGCAGCAGCGCGCGCCATGCCTCTATCATCCCCCGAGCTGTCTGTGATGGAGAGGCGCCCTCGCCCCTGTGGCACTCCTCCGAGCTGTCTGTGATGGGCGGGAAGGGCGAGGGTGGTGGGGCTGGTGGTGTGAGGAGAAGAAACAGCAACTCCCTGTTTTTCTCTCATGTGGAAATCTCTGCAGCCCAACCTCCCCCCCACCCTCCCCAGCCCTTCCCCCCACCCACCCTACCCCAGCACTCTCCTCATGCTAGCCCAATCCTCCGCTCACCCTCCCCCCACCCGCCTCCCCCCCTCCACTCCACCCCCTACAGATATGCACCTGCGTTTGGCGAATCGGGAGAGGCGTCTCTTGACCCCTTGGGGACGACCTTGCGCCTCCGCTGAGGGTGGGAGCGGGGGGGGGGGGGGGGGAGAAAGGGGGGGGGGGGGGAAAGGGGGGGGCGGGGTGGAGGGCGATCAAGGCCTTGTTTGAGGCGACTAAAACAAGGAGGCGTCTCTTGAGCCCTTGGGGACGACCTTGTGCCTCCGCTGAGGGTGGGAGCGTCATGGGGGAAGGGATGGGCAATGGGGAAAGGGATGGGCAAGGGGGGAAGGGATGGGCAATGGGGAGGGTGTGAAGGGTTTGGGAGATGGGAGAAGAGCATGCGATTGAGAACAACCGCCCCACTGGGAAAGCCACCGCCCCACTGGGAAAGCCACCGCCCCACTGGGAAAGCCACCGCCCCACTGGGAAAGCCACCGCCCTGCCTGCAGCATGAAATGCCCACCCCACTTGCAGCCTGCACTGCACCTCTCCCACCCCACCTGCAGCAAACTCTGCACCCTCCCCCCACCCACCCCACTTGCACTGCCCTGCCCACCCCCCAGCCCACCTGCAGCATGGACTGGGGTTGCAGCGAGCCCTGGCGGAACAGGGAGTTGCGATGCTCCTCCTTGGGCTGTGGGGGCAGCGACGCGGTGCCTTTGAGTCTACTCATACACGCACCTGCAGCAAGCACTGCACCACACCCACCCACCTGCAGCTTGTATTGCGGCATGCCCCACCCACCCCACCTGCAGCATGGACTGGGGTTGCAGCGAGCCCTGGCGGAAGAGGTTGTTGCGATGCTCCTCCTTGGGCTGTGGGACGAGGTGCCTTTGAGTCCACTCACACACCCACCTGCAGCATGTATTATGGCCCGCTCCACCCACCTGTGCCACGCCTGGCCACCCCACCTGCAGCATGGATTGGGGTTGCAGCGAGCCCTGGCGAAAGAGGTTGTTGCGATGCTCCTCCTTGGGCTGTGGGGGCAGCGACGCCTGCCGTACCAGCCCATCCCGCGCTCCCCCTTTCACCGCCGCCCCATCCCTCATCCCCCCTCCCCCTCCCCCTCCCCCTCCTCCTGCTCCTGCTCCTGCTGCTGACCCGTTTCCTACCCCTCCTCCTCCTCCCTCTCCCCGCCCCCCTGGCTCTCCCCGCCCCCCTCCCTCCCCCCTCCCACCTCCCTCGCCCCTCCCCCCTCCCTCGCCTCTCCCCCCTGCTCCTCCGCCTCCTCCCCCTCCCCCACCCCCACGAGCGCCCCCCTGTCCCCCCCGCCTGCCCTCCTCCTCGCGTCTCCCTCGCGCCTCCTCGCCCCCCGCCCCCCTCCGGCTGCTGCTGCCACTGGTGGCTGCTGCTGCAGCCTTCGCTGCCTTGAGCTTGTTCTTCTCATCCGTGTACAGGGCTCTGAGGGGGAGAAGAGGAGTGGGGAGTGGTGAAAGTAAGGGGGATAAGGTTGCATAACTGCCCCACCCGCCTTCAGCTTGTGCTGCTGCAGCCTTTGCCGCCTTGAGCTTGTTCTTCTCATCCGTATACAGGGCTCTGGGGGGAGAAGAGGCAGGGCGGAGTGGTGAAAGTAAGGTAAGGGGGGAACGGGGGGCGAGGGAGGGAGAAGGGGAAGGCAAGGGGGGAACGGGCAAGAAGGAAAGAGGGAGCGGGGAGGGAGGCATGGGATTGGCATGGCATGTCATGTCATGGCATGGGACGGGGCTAATGTTAACAGTCCTTGATTACTGGTAATCCCACGTGTCACAATCAATCACAGCCGTTGCTTCACCTGTAGTGGTCGTCGCAGGGATGGTCCCACACACTCTCGCCCGTCTGGAAGTTGAAGTAGTAGATCTCATCGTCGTCTGTGCGACTGGTGGGGGTAAGGGAGGAGTAAAGAGGCGAGGTGGGGCCGGAAGAGGTTAGGGTTGGGTTGGGTTGGGTTGGGTTGGGTTGGGTTGGGTTGGGAGACCAGCCCCCCTTAGCATGCCAGCTCCCACACGCTCTCGCCCGTCTGGAAGTTGAAGTAGTAGATCTCATCGTCGTCTGTGCGACTGGTGTGGGTGGGAGAGGGATGGGGGCAGGGAAGGGGGGAGGAGGGGGAGGAGGGGTGTTTGGAACAGGAGACGAGACTTGCCATGCCACTTCCTCACACGCCCTCGCCCGTCTGGAAGTTGAAGTAATAAATCTCATCATCGCCTGTGAGGCTGGGTTGGTGTGGGAGGGCGAGGGTGGGAGGGTGTGGGTGGTTGGATTGGTTTGGAAAAGGAGACGAGACCTGGCATGCCACTTCCCCACACATGCACATACACACCCACACCCACACCCACACCCACACCCACACCCACACCCACACCCACACCCACACCCACACCCACACAGACGAACCCCTTCTCACCCCACCCCACCCCTTCCACACACACACAGGCAGGCAGGCACACACACGCACACGAGCAGGGTCTTCCCTAGACGAGCCATGGCATGGCATGGCATCCTTCGCCTTGCGAATCAGCAATTCGCATTGCATTGCACGACTCAAACGCCACAGGCTACGCACACACGCGCGCAGGCGCGCTCGCCTCACGCGCGCCACACGCACACCCACTCGCACGCACACCGCTTGCACACCGCAAGCGCACACACACACACACACACACACACACACACACACACACACACACACACACACACACACACACACACACACACACACACACACACACACACACACACACACACACGCCATACGCGCACGCCACGCCACACGTGCCACACACCCACCAGGGTTTCCAGTTGGGCGGAAGCGGCGCCTTGAGTCCCTGCCGCGCCACCCACATCAGCTCAATTCAAAGCCTCCTCCCCCTGAGGCAGCATAAGTCGGACAGACAGACAGACGAGGCACTCACCATGGCTTCCAGTTGGGCGGCAGCGGCGCCTTGAGTCCCTGCCGCGCCACCCACAGCAGCTCCTCCTCCTCCGGCAACTCCATGCCCAGCCATTGCGCGTACTCGAGAATGTCTGCTGGGCGGGCGCACGGCGGAGAGAGAGAGGTGGGGGGAGGGAGGAGGAGGGAGAGGGGTGGGGGGAGGAGAGGGTGGGGGAAGGGTGGCGGGCGGGAGGGGGTGGGGGAAGGAGGAACGCGGGGGAGTAAGAAAAAGAGAGGGATTAGGGTGACGGCGGTGGTAACTCGCGCCACCCACAGCAACTCCTCCTCCTCCGGCAACTCCATGCCCAGCCATTGCGCGTACTCGAGAATGGTGGGACAGCGGCTATGAGATGAGTAGGCAGCACAGCCGTTCATTGAGCCGGGCGGAGGGACGCGCATGAAGAGCACGCGGGAGGGAAATGGGAGGAAAAAGCCGCGGACGGGTATGAGTTGAAGCGAACGAACATTTAAGCGCCGTGAAAATAAGCGCCACGCGTCTAAGCGCCACTCATCTAAGTGCCATCTAAGTAAAGATCCGACGCGCAGCCGGCGCTGGCGCATGATAACTCGTCTAACGGCTGCTCGACTTGTGTATCGCTTTTGAGAATTCTCAGAAGTGACACACACGCAAGACGACGATGAGCAGCCGGTGCTGGCGCTTTTTGAGTCGACAAAAAAAACGCCTTTCGAGAATTCTCAAAAGCGGCACACGCAACGAAGACGACAAGCAGCCAGCGCTGGCGCATGATAGCTTGGGTAACGGCTGCTTGAACGCCGTCAGAACGCGTGACGGAGCAAGAGAGGAAGAGAGCCTGAGAGCGAGAGAGAGAGAGGGAGAGAGCGAGAGAGAAAGGGAGGGACTGCGACGGGAAAGTAAGCCACAGCCGCCGATCGTCAATGGTGCATCTACAGTTCAATGTGAGCCGTCGAGCCTTCACGATCGAAAAGTAACCCTAATCCGTGCTGCGGGGGAGGTTACCGCGGGGGTGGATGCTGCAGGGGAGGTTGCTGCGAGGGAGGTTGCTGCGGGGGAGGATGCTGCGAGGGAGGAAGAAACAAACAAAAAATGGATATCTCCCTAGAATGGCTACCTCGTATCCCGCGTCAGCTCAAACCTCTCGTACGGCTCCTCGTCCAAACCAGTAGCCTTTTTGCGCGACTCAATAGCGAGTATACCGTATCCGTGAGCTCACCTTCCTGCGTCGGCTCGTAGTTCTCGTCGAACTCCTCTTCTAGAACCGTCGTCGGGTCCGCCATGGGCTAACATGAACAACGAGCGGGCCTTAACTGGCGTTTGAGTCGACTCGGAAACGTTCTAGAATGGTGGACGGGATCGTCATAGTCTAACATGAGCAATGAGCGGATATTTTAGCCGACTAAAACATCCAAGGTCTAACCTGAACAACGAGCGGTCCTGTACTGAAGTGAGAATTAAAGCACGCGCTGAGAAAACCAATAAAATAATTAATTGACGGAGGCTATGAATCGCTTCTAGGGTTTCGCATTGGCCAAGAAGCTATGATAGGGAAGATTGAGGCCGTGAGGTAACAGACCTACATAGGCGCCCCGAGGTCAAAACCATCTAAACGCAACCGAGACTCGGAAACTATACATTTTATCCTATCGCGAAGCTATCGTGAAGGTATGCGACGCGCATGGTTTAAAAAGGCGCAACTTGCGGCGCCACGCAATATCCGCCGACACTACACTCCCAACTGCAACGCCTGGTACGGACAAAAGCCTCAACAACCACACACGAACCTAACTTCTGACTCGCCCTGACTCAAATTGAGGAACCTACAGTAACTCATGAAAAGGCAGGCTGCCTGTCAGTGTGTGTGAGTGTGTGTGGGTGGGGTGGGTGCTGTGCTGTTGGTGTGTATGCTATGCTCGGCAGACTCGGAAAGGGGGATGTGCTGTTTGCAGCTACTGCTGGGGAAGGAGAACCTAGATATGGCCGCAGGCGAGCTATCTAGGTCCGGAACGGCGGTATGGTACCCCCGGCCTGGTTACGGCGTCACATGTATTGGTTCGTAATGGTTCGCAAAGGTAAGTTCTGGACAGTGTGCAATCTCACTGATTTCCGCGAAGAGCATTTGTTTCGTCGACGGCAGTAACCGTACAGTTAAACCCAAACCTAGAGGCACGACGCGTCCTGGATTTTTTGCTGAGCGGGCAGAGTAGACCACTATTTGTCCTCGCACAGTTGACTGATTTGCCAAGGGGTGTTGTGTGGTGTTTCCACACATTTGATGTTCAAAAAGGCAAGCTATTAGTACCCATCACAACGCATGCATGATTGGTACAAAGGTCCATATAGTACACCTAACATATGATACAAGTCAAAAATAAAGTGAATAATGGTATGCAATATACTATTAGTCAAAATTTTCAGACTGAACAGCCACCTATACGGATGGTGATCATCTAGATCTCCCAAAACAAGTGACTATCTGAGGAACCTCCAGGTCACCATCTGCTGATCCATCAATCCCCTCTTCACACTCGTCAACATACTGTGGCAAAATTCTTCCCCTAACCCCCTTCATAATTTCATTTCTGCTGCGTTGAACCCCCGTCGTTTCTGCTTCCTCATTTTCATCAATATCCCCGTGTAATTTCCTTCCACTGCCCATGAAAAACCCTGCTCTTGAACTGGTGTCTCCGAGGGCTTTGCCCTTTCCTGAGCCTGGTCGCATGAATAGGCTCTCTAGCCGAGACGGCCATTCCACAGACCCGCTAAACGTCCTAGCCAGGAACTTTCGGCTCGGTAGAGGAGAACCCGTGCCAGTCGCCGCGGACGCGGCAGCATCCCCACCGTTGATTAATGCACCGTCATCGAAACCGCCGCGCGTGCCGCTGCGTTCACGAGCCGAGCCGTGGTGCAGCGCTCTCGCTGCTAGCGACCTAGATCCCCTCGCCCCTTGCAATTGCGCTCTACTAGCTCTTCCAAACACATTCCCAGCGCGGTTCTTTAGATTAGCGGAGGTTCCCAGAGGTGACCCTGGCGCCCTGCTACTGCTACCGCTGCTGCTGCGGAAGTAGGGGACGCCACAGCGCGGGACAGTGTGCGGGCGCTGCTGCTTCTGCGCTTGTTGCGCCTCCCAGAACGTGGGCGGGATCTCCGACGCGAGAGACCGCACCTCAAGGCTTTCAGGCGTCATTGCTGCTGCGCCTGCGCCGGTTTCTCTCATGGCGGCAGCGGCGGCGGCGGCGGCGGAGCGTTGGCGGAAATCGTCTGGAAGGGGTCGATAGACGTCCCGCGGCGTCGCGTACTCGGCAAAGCGGTGCCAGTCGTCAGCGGCGCAGTTGCTGCTGGCGGCGCAATCGTGCGGGCACTCGGCGACAACAACGAGAGGCGGCGGACATTGAAGGGGCGATGCGAAGGGTGCGGCATTGCAGGTCTGCGTCTTCCAAGCGCCTGTGATTTCGCTTCCACATTCGCCAGAAGCGCCTGTAGTCGGAGCGGTGAGGGCGGAAGGAGGGGAGACGCTACGCTCCTTGCGTTTGTGGATGGGGGAATTGTGGGCGCGGAGCGAGGAAAAATGGGGGTCCAGGGTTTGATCACGAGACGGATGGGGGAAAACCCAGGGCAGATCCGTGTAGTACGATTCTGCCGACTCTCTAACAGCTGGATATTGATCCAAAGTAGCCATTTCTGCAGAAGAGAAATGGGGCGAAAATCAAGAACACGTTGATGAGACAATAGGCGCTGCGTTTTGGGTCGTCAAAACTGAAGTACCACTGATGTGGGATGTGGTATGGTTGCACTGAACTTGTAGAGCTTGACGATCACCACCAGCACCACCACATCGGATCGTTGGCATGGGATGGGTTCGGTTCGGGTGGGAGAGGCGATGAGACGAGATGAGACATCCCAGACGAGTGGGCTTGGGTGAATGCCAGGCTGGGAAAGAGCCGCACCAAGTGTCCATTGGGACTTGGATTGGGGGAGGCCCACTTCCGTGAGAGTGTAGCGCTGGTGGTGCTGCTGCATACCTGTCTTGTCGGCGCGACGAAGAACGCACTGTGCATAACGAACTCCCGTGGGGGCGGTGGGTGAGTGGGAAGGGTGGTTACCATCACCAGGTCCGGTAATGAGGCTTGTAGGGTGGTGGTGCCTCGGGGGCTGGTTCGGCTCGAAAGTTCGCTTGTCGCGTTGCCGCTGTTGAGTGGTGGTGGTGTGATGTCTGGTTGGGATAGCCATGCCTCGGACCAATCAGCGCCCGCGGAATGTCGGTTGGTGAGGCTTGCTTTTGCTTCGCCAGGTTTGGGCAAGAAATGTATGGGCAGCCTGATCTGATCACCATGGTCCTCCAAGGAGACAGGAGGAGCTGAATGCTTCAACGGCACGACAAAGTGGTTTGGCCATTCTTTGATTTGCCAGACTGGGAAGGATTCTGGAGATTTACGCGGCCCGCGTCAACCACGCCTCAAAGGAGACAATTGTCGCTGTCCAGGCAGTAGCACTTCTTATGAAAGTTGAAAAACATGAATGAATACGAGCATAGTACCGTATAATAAACGAGCCGACTTCAAACGACGTTTCCAAGCAGTGCTCCCTCCACGCATGACTTGGTTGTCTGGTTGGACGATGCAGTTCGTCAGGAAACCAAACCTCGTTCGTTCGTTGAAGTACAGATGCGAATTTTCCAAGCAGACGGAAATAGAGTAACAGTGTTTTGCGAACCCCGTGGAAAATCGTCGGCCTCGCAAAGTTACCCCTTCATCTGGATCTCAATCCACAACGTCAGTTTCGCAGGGAGTCCCTGGGCTAAAATTTGCTTCCCTGGCAGGATGTTCTTCGCTCCCATTGGTTGGAAGAACAGATTCATATTCAAACGACTGGGTTTCCCGCGTTCCCAATGTATGCTGTGACGGGGGGCTTCAGATGAGATGACAATCGACGGTCACAAAGTCACCAAGTCAAACGCTCACCTAGAGGAATCCCGCAACTCCCGCGTTTGTCTAACGGAAAGCTCGCTGAAAATGGTCGGTGTTGTTCGACTCGCGTAGCCACTGAGGCAACGAGGCGACACGCGAGCAGTACACAGTCGGCGATTTTCCGTTCCCTTCCCTGACCGCCAGAGTCACGTGCCACGTGAACGATTCCTGACCAGCCATGAAGTGGACTTTCGAATTTCCCTGTCATGGAGAAAATTTGAGCCTGACCGGACCAACCATTCGCAGCCGCTTCATTACTTGTCATGATCCAACACAACTGGTTAGCCTGTAACCCAATCAAGAACGAGGGTTTCTTTACGCTGCTAGAACGGTTTTGGTTGGCGAAATGGGAAATTCCAACCTACGGCTGCGATCTGGACTAGGAGAGTCGTATCGAACGCCTGAGTGATTCCTGACGGTAGATCTCGTGTGATGAGAACCCAAGGGCGTTGGTTGGGATGCCAGGAAAGGAGAGGCGAGGCATGCCGCAACCCCTCCCGCCTCATTCCAACGTCATTCTCGCCTGAGCCTCGCATTTCACAGTGTTTTCGCCTCTTGCTCCCATTTTTGCACGCCCAGCTTCTTCTGCTCACCTGCTCCGTTCCTAGAACACAGCTCCATAGCTCTAGAGCTCATCGTTTTGACACGTAGCTCAGGCTTACGTTTACTGATGCGATTTCTCAAGATTAAAGCCGTTTGGTCTGCGTCCGGCTGAATCGTAGGAGCGGGAAGTCGCGTCATTTAGCGTGGAAACTCGGCATATTTTGCGCAGACTTAGAGCATCTGTTTTTTTTTCATTCAGGTAATACTGAGAGCATCTGCTTATTTTTCGCGCACCGAGTTTCATTGTCCGGTGTAATCTGCGAAGTTGGAATACGAAATCGGCATGCGATGTTTTCTGACGTGATGTCTGCATCTTCGGAACGTGCCAGGCTAGCTGAGCACGCAACATCTTCCCCGATTGGTCTGTACGCGATTTTGGAGAGCCACGCGAATTCGGAGTTAGCGAGTTCGGAGCTCTTAGACTCTCAACGGCATCATGTTCTCTACTCAGGTAACTTGTGAACGCGTCCGCATCGAGTCCCCAATCTTTTTCCCGCAGCGAGTTTTATTGTCTAGTGTAAGAGGGCGTTCCCACAGTTTCCCGACAAGAAAGTTCGCCCACGCGGCTCGCAATTTTGCCAATTTCGAGAAATTTGCCAACTAGGATTCGAAATCGTCATGCGATATTTCTGACATGACGCCTGCATGTTCGGATGTGGCAGGTCGTTGTGAAGGCGACATCTGGCTGTACGCGATTTTGGAGAGCCACG